ATAACATTACGATACGACCAATAGGAGAAAAAAACAGGGGGAAATGTGGAAAAAAGGGAAAATTATTCATCTTTGTGGATTTCCGAAGGTTGCTGCAAAACGGTTCGAGATACCCAAAAAATGTGTATGAAAGAATGATTCCTCTTTGAATCTTAAAATATGTCTATATTTTAACCAATTTGAATGCCAAAATAACTATTCAACGCAGATAAAGTCGCTGACACAGCTAGTTCTACAATATAATACCAATCAGGAGACAAAATTGTGTACCGTATAAGTATGTTACTAATATTAAGGAGTAGATTTTCAAAAGGACAATTCACACTTGACCGTCAATGTCGTCCTACATACATCCGTCAAGCAAGCCGTGAATCATTTTAATGATGTAACGAGGGTCAATGTTTCGTGAATTCGTCGATGCTATCTCACTTTAATGTTGGGTAGTTCTTGAAATTCTTACACGTGGTGACCATGCGTTTTGTTTTTTACGTAAAACTGAAAAGTGGTTAGTAGATCATCGGAATAAATATTAATAATATGAAATGTTTTTTTTGTGCCTAGTCATCGTTATAGAACCCTTCGTTTTTCGAACTTGACCTTTTACTTAAAAATACTACCAGTGTCCGCGGCTTCATCCGCGTGGAATAGTTAAATCCTTTTAACAACCTCCGCAGCTTTATAAATTATCATTCTTATATATATTTACGTGAACTGTTTTCGCAGAGCACGCATTTACACATTTCTCTTTGTTTCTTAGCACCTATTTGTCGCAGTTTGATGTTTCATAGGCTAACGTCGTCCTCGATAAATACCCTAACCAACACAAAAATGTTCTTTCAATTAAAAACAGTGCTTTGTGAGATTGGCGCGTTAATACCAACAAACAAACTCTTCAGCTTTATATGTTAGTATAGATAAAGACAATATAAAATATTTAAATAAAATTTTAGTAGCCAATACGAAAACTAATAAAGACTAATAAAAGTACTTCCTTAGTCATAATACTTTTAAACTGGAAAGTTGTTATTAGAAAAAATATGTTTCATGTTTTAAAACATAGTCAATCATGGACACCTCGACTAGCGTTATATTTAGCACTTAAAGGGAATTGTTGCGGTGTTTTACTTTGAAATATTTATCAGATTAAAGCAGGCGGATTTATGTTCCTTCTGTTTACGGGCTTCTAGAGGAAATTACCGGAAAATTTCAAACCTTTATCACATTTTGTACTCAAGATTTATTTAGCTACCGAACTAAAACTAATTTATATCACTGGCAGTTTACATAATAGGTAAATTACTAAAATATATCAATAGTATTTTATTTTTAGCACGACATTCAGCGTAAGAACAATTATATAAAGTATTATGTCTATTATTAATTAAATTATATTTAAAAATAAAAATTTAAATAAAACGCGTGTTACGGTTAAAACACGAAATATATTAGTTAAACTTATTGTCAAATGCCGTGCTAATCTGCCGCCAAAGCCTCCGAAACGTCGGGCCCGTAGTTGAAATAATTTTTTAATAAGTTTAACTAATACTTTTTGCATTTACATCGTTAAACGTGTCTTATTCAAATGTGTACTACTCGCGACACTATTTTTACTTAGGAGTTTGACACAGCCGAATAAACTAATATGTATTATTCTGTAAACAATTTATTTATTTATTTACTTATGTACTCTAAGTAACTCGTCATTTATGCTCCATTTATTACTGGGTTAAACCTTCAGAAAGTTCAATCGTGTACCACAGTGTATTGCCTCACATTTACAATTGTACATCTCATTAGCTGAAAAATAATATTGCACGTGCGGTTATCATAACAAGATGCGCTCTACGGATAGGGTTGCCACTTGCCAATTTTAATTGAATCATTAATATTTGATGAAGTAGTCAATCTACAAGGCTATAGCGAACCCCGATCGTTTAGTGTAAACATGAATATTCAAATACAACATTTTTAACTGATAAAAACGTGAAATATATTAGTTAACTCATTTTATATACGACCCCACATTTCGGGTGCCTTTAAATTAGTTGAAAAAATTAAAATAACTGGTGACTAATATATTTCGTCTTTTAAAACTGAAAGTGAACGTTGAAAGTGTTATTTTCGCAACCGACAACACCACTGTGGTTTAAAACGATAAGTTTATTTAGCAAAAAAGAACAGTTTAAAAGGGGGTAAAAAAAAAAAAAAAAAAATCGACAATGCATTCCCTTAAAACTTGCATTCTCCAGTTTATTTAGTAAAGAGTATTGTAGACTTAGCTGCTATAGGGATCAATTATTTACTAAGTTATAGTTTAGATTTTGCTGTGTAAAATAATTCAAAGACATTTTTGTGACCGATTTTTTATATTCTGAGAAGATTTAAAATATTCCACTCGTTTCTCTACGTGCAACATCGGCAGACACATCCCTTAAAGTCTTATACACTAAAGTAAATACTATAATATTAGTGGCAGCCCTAACTATACCCCACGCTACATAAAAACTATAAAATTTACATTTCGCGAAACTGTATCACAGTTGTTTGATATTGAAAGGAGCCGCGGCCGCGTTTGTTCGTTACATAATTACCCGCGCTATTTCTTACGACTTCGAAAATACGCGGGAAAATTTTCAGTGAATTTTAGGTTAGTTATTTATTATAAACGCTTTGAATTCATTAATATTTTTATTTTTTTATGCAGTGTAATCGTATCTCGTAAACTTGAGTACTAACAACAAACGAAGAAAAATCACAATCAATCATTTCTTTGTCAAAATTTCCTTGTCCCTAAACATGGTCCACAACACAAAATGACGGAACTACATGCAATATAAAAAAACCGAGACGTCATTTAAAATGTGACCCGACGTCTTGGGTTCTGGGTAAACTAGTTAATAGAGATTAATTAAGATTAGTAAACACAACTTTAAGTCAAAGATAACTGTTGTGACTGTTGTTTATGTGAATATTCTTATAAGAATGGTTTACTTTCTCCGTGAAAAGTCGCTACGAAGTTAATCTCGATTTGATAACCTCTAATTAATCTTAAGCCTATAAATAATAAAAACTGTTTTATTCACTATTTTAAATTATTTATTACAATTATATGTACCATATTTGGTTTACAAGAAGAGAAAAAAATATTGAAAGAAATTATACATCAGTACACACAAAATTTCTTTTTAATATCAAATTGCAAACAAATAAAATTGTATTGTAGGATAAAACAAATATAAAAGTTTTTAGTTGTTTTGACTTTAATAATAATGTTTTTTTCAGACAATCAAATATTTGCAACATGGGTTATTTATTAAGGTAAGTTGGTCTAAATATAAAAGTTTTTTTTTAAGTTAATAAAATTGTAAGACCAACTTGGGGGTATTGAACCCGCTTACGTTGGTAAAAAGAAAAATAGGTAATATAAAAATTGTACAACTTACTAAAACATTTACTATTGTATACAAGATATATCTAATCGTCTTTACATGATTAAAAGTTGTGCAATTTAAAAATACGTATGTTCAAATTATAAACTAATCCGTCACGCATAATAAACTAGAAAAAAATGTCGCAAATTTTAAATTACTCTTGTTACAAAACAACTTTGGTTGTATAACACTAGGTTAACATTATAGCACAACTAATTGTAAGTACTTTACGCGATTAACGTTTTTAAGCTATTTAAAAAATATATAAATTATTATATTTACTGACCACTGATGTAGTTAAAATTTATCGTGAAATGTGCTAAAAGTATGCAATATGTTATGTATGTATACTATGTATGTTAAGTCATTTTATATACGGAGCAGAAACTTTCAAAATTTTACGAAAATTCATAAATTACTAGTAACACGAAAAAAATGTATAGTTTGTGTGGGCACGAAAGCCTGATCTTGCCAGTAAATAAAATCATTCGGCAAAACAGACACAGATATGTGCTTGCCGCCCTACAAGGGGAAACGTGATTCATCACTAGTTTGATATACAATATGGAAAACAACAGAGACATGGATGTACTGTTTTACTTCTAATGTCAAACTTGGTGCATCACTAAACATTGGCGTTGTGCCTATTTCCAGGTACAACAAAAGATGACTGGTGTGTCTACAATTACATCTATTTTATTGTATTTTTGGTGTGCGAAATAAATGAATTTGATTGGATTTAAATGCCAAACTAACGCCATTATCTATACTAATATATAAAGCTAAACATTTTGTTTGTTTGAGCGCGTTAATCTTAGGAACTACTCGTTCGAATTGTGTTTGAAATTCTTATTGTGTTGGTTAGAACATTTATCGAGGAAGGCTATAAAACTTTGGGCAGTGACAAGGAGCGTAAGATCAGCGGGAAATGTGGAAAAAACTGGGAAAATTATTCATCTCCGTGGTTTTCCAATCCGTAAACGCGGCGACAACGGTTCAAAATACCCAAAAAAATATTTGTGAAAAAATTATTCCTATTTAAATGATTTAAAAAAATGTCCGCGACACATACCTACACTCTTATAACAAAACAAGGACTAACTCTCAAACTTGGTTTAAACCCTGGTTTATTTTAAATCCTTATTACAAAACAAAGTTTAACGTTTGTACTGGACTAACTATGGTGCCAACTTAGATTGATTTAGGAGTTAAACCAAGACTCCGCAGTTCTGCTTTAAGTATATTTTTGTAATAAGGCCGTATATATCTTTTAGGATTGACTTATAAGAACGACGGGACATGACCGACGTCATGACTAACAGTTTAATTTATTAAGATAAGTAGGTTTGCAAAAACAAATTTGGATATCCAAAATAAGGATTCTCGCGGACAAAGTCGCTGACACAGCTAGTCTGTCATCACAACGAAACATATTGCAACATCACAACAATCATTATGTGTATAATAATAATATTTTGATCGTCATTAATTAGACACACTTTCTGACATTAACCTTGCCCTAAATAATATTGATATGTGTATGATGAATGGTTATGGTGTAATTTGACAATGGTAATATTTTGATGTAAAATTGGCTAAGAGGCAACTTTATGATTGCCGAGAGACATGCTAACATAATATGTTACTACTACTAACTATGACCGTTGACTTCGTCGAATTTTGGGCGTCAAAATTTGTTTATGCAAAATCCTCAACTTTAAAAATTTTAGTTGTTACTTACTACGTCATCCGTCCCGTCGTTCTTGCAAGTGAATCTTAAAAGATATACATTTTTTAGATAGACAAAGAGAAATCATTCTTTAGTACATATTTTTTGGCTATCTTGCACCTTTTTCGCAGTCCTCGCAACGGAAACCCTTAAAGCCACCTTCCACGTTTCTCAGTGTTTCTTTGCTCCGACTGGTCGCAGCGTGATTTTACGCAGACGAAGGCAGGACCAGCTAGGTTATAAACGTGTCGGACCCGCTGGGGATCGAACCCATGACTCGTTGATAATAAGCCATAAACTACCATAATAAAGTCTTCAATCCATGTATTACAACCTTAGTGTTAGTTTAAAAAACCTGTCTGTAGTGTAAGCCAGTTGTATACATTTAATAAAACACTTTAACGGTTTAAACGCTATATATATTAGTTAAACTAAACAGTAAACGGGGAGACCACTGACCACGGCTGCTGCAAAGCATCCGAAACGTCGGGTCGTAAGTAGTTAAAAATGTTTTTTTAAATAATATCGCGTTTTAAACCGTTAAAGTGTTTTATTTAATTTTAAAAAGCGTTTGCTCCATTTTCAAAGAATGGTGTAGACATTGCGTTACGGTCATAATATGTTATTCAACCATAAATCAGTGTTAGGTAACCAGCAATATCCTACAAGACAATGGCTCTCTTACATTCACTTAGTTTAGGGCGTGGTTACATGCCATCTAAAGTGTGTTTTGATAAGGGGAATTATTATGCGACGAAGATTATATGGAGGATAATAATTGAAGAAAAGCAATGTATAATTTATAGCAACAAATAATTACGAATTTAGTTTGTTAGTTGCCTCGCTTTGGTTTGGTTGATAAATGTTTTGCGTTTTTAATCGTTACATTTCATTTGACTGCCCTCGTAAACTATAGATTATGTTCTTATATATGACTTACTTTCTGTGTCAACGACATCATTCGCCTATTTTTTGCTTCAAAATTTGCTTTTACAAACTTCCTCGTCTTTATAAATTATAATTTTTACCAAAAGCGTCGCTCGCGTTCCATCGTTTTAGCAAATAATATAATTATAGATTAGGGCGGTCAAACTAACAAACACTCTCTTCAGCTTTATATTAGTATAGATTGATCAATCTAATTAAACCTCACGGAATGTAAATATAACGTGAAATAAGTCAACGGTAATAGCTTCATGTAGCCCCGCCCTTATAGAATAAATGGTTGTTCCCGCTGTAACAATGCGTTGGATGTCCATACATTGTTTGCGGTTCTCATAGAAAAATTAATTCCTGTATCAATCTATGTTTTCACTAGACGACCTTCTGTTTTGTTTTACACAGACGTAAAACACGTCTGTGTAAAAATCTTGTTAGCTATAGTCTAGTCTAGATCCTGTGTTCACACGATATGTTATATTGGTTGGCTTGTTAATTGGTTTTTTATTTTGTTCATTATCAATAGTCAATAGTTAAAACCTAATTTTTAATTATGTCGCAATTACGTAAACACAACTTTTTGTAATTTTTTACATGTTTTGAATGTTTTCAATATATTATGTATTATTTATTTGACCGGCTAGCTAGCTATTTGGCAGCGATGTATGGCTGATCATAAATGGGTCGTGGCTCCCCTCTAGAAAGAACCAACATGCTTTCAATTAATTAATATTTTTTATAATATGTTGGATTTTGTCTGTTTATTAAACGAACCTCCGTTCATAAATGAAAAATCCAAGAAATCGCAATTTGGTTTCAGTCTGTGGATTTCCGAATATCTAAAGCCAAAATAAGTCGACAGCTCATCTTGTCTATATGTTATATGGCTGGGGTATTAAACCTTCCATCTAGTTCTACTTACCAACATTTTTACATATCTTCTTCTGGAACTCTTTCTCTTCTTTATGGATGATGTCATAGTCTGTTATGATTTCAGATTTTCAGCATTGCATTCATTACAGCAGTAGTGCACTGTGAGCCACCAGTATACAGACCTAGCTACCAAAATGGCTACACGAGGCCAGTTTCTAGCTATTTACCGCCAGCCACAGGTAAAAAATGATAGGTTTGATAATTTTTTTTGGATGTTTGTAATACACGCGACGGCAAAAAACACGTGACGCAATTGTAGTAATATTTGAGACCAGTTTTTTTTAACTAGTTAATAATGACATTGTGTGTCTGTATATGGTGTTTATCTATGCTAGGATTCCTTAAAAAAACATAGTTACTTAATTTGTAACATTGATTAAAAATGTATGTAAATATAATTAAAGTACCACTTTACTCGTAATATATTTCAGGATATACACCACCAAATAATTATCTACCCCCAAACACTGGCTACCCATCAGATTTCAACGGAAACGGTCAAGGTTTTGTTCAAGGTCATCATCACGGACACGGTCAAGGTCACGGACATAATCACGGACACGGCGACGAAAGTGAAGTTGTAAGTATATAGTTTACTTATTTGCTACTAGAAATGGTAATTCTATATCTAAGATAAAATATATTTTATTACCTTATTTCTATCATGTTTCAAATTAAAACAACTATACATTTTTATATTCATATAATAATATTCCTTTGTTAACCTATTCAATAATTACGTATAAATGACACCCTATCTAAAATTATGCACAAATAACTAATTTCTCTTAACGTTATAAACGACATAAGAACTGATCGGCTTCAGCCTATAAATGTTGTCATCTAGCGCATAAAAAATATCGCCATAGTCACCAAAAATAATACTTCTAGGGAAGAAGTGTAAAGTAGCAACTCTTTTAGCTGTACCGTTGAAACAATCCAATTCGTATAGGCCGTCATCCGTTACGCCAAATGTTTTGTGCTCGTCGCTGAGGAAATGATAAACGACACTCAAGTCGTTATTCTTTACCACCTGCGCGCCATCTATCGCGCAAAAAACACCGCACATCGTCACAAAATGTATGTTTCCATTGTAATCAACGTCAAAATCCATCACCGTTTTCATATCGCCGACGCGGACAGCGCGCGTTCCGAGATTGAAAATCTTGTAAATCATATGATTATTCGCGTCGATTATATAGATATCGTTATTACGGATAACTATTTTGAATATATTCATATTGTACAGTCCTATGTCCGTCGCTTCGTTGGATACCGGGTCGTACTTGTATAGGCCGTTGTCCGAACCGAAATATACGTCACCACTCTCGCCGTCCACAGCTGTCGCCTTATTCCTCGAAATCCCGTTGACTTTTCGGGAACTCTTCGTTATTATGTTGACGTACGCGCGTCCAGAGTTCTGTAACACATCGTCCATGTACATGAAATATAGGTTACGCGTTGACGAATCGTACGCCAGCTCTTTCGGGTCTTTGAAGTTGCCAGTCAGCATCTCTTGTTTGTATAGACGTCCTCCGATTTTCTGTATGGGCGTATCCGTTAGGTACACCCGCATTTTCCCTTCCACGCTCAAAACAGACACTAGTATTATCGTAAAGAACATCTTAAGAATCTTTGAACTGTACAGTCGCGGATCATACTGCGAGCAATTGAAAATGTTTCATCTTTTATCTGAATGAGGTTAAACCAATTTACGTTCGCTACTGTTTTATTCGGCTGATCGGATTTGATGTTTATTCGTATAGTCATAAAATCGAAATTGCTTTGCGTCATACTTGAATATGGATCGTATGAAAATTGTCGTATTAGTTGGGAGGTCGGAGCGAACGTCTCATCTCTTACTAATGCGTTTAATTATTTTGTTCGTTCGAACTACAAACTATTTATCAATGTAGTTTTAGTAGAGCAGTCGCCGTTGCTCAGTGGTTAAATGAGTTATCTATATATTCAGAAAGGTACTCGGTTCGATTCCTGCAAATCGAATATAGTTTCAATCGGGTGGGCAGAAAAGTCTCATCAACCTTAGTTAGGTTAAGGTATTAAAATTGATCATTGAATCGAACTCAGTATGTTTATACAAATCTGGTAGGTAAATGTAAAATGTGTATAAAGAAATAAAAGAAATGTTCAGGTATATTTACGTAAAAAAATACAAACGACAATAGTTTGGGAAGTCCTTCCTATATAGTGTACATAAAAAACTTCATTTCGCAATTTGAATAAATAAAATTTATATGTTGTTTTTATGCAAATATTTATAATTTATACACTTGAAAACCTGTTTTTTTTTGTATAGACTGATTAGTAATAGTTATAGATCGATTGTTAGCTAGAAAATTTACGATATTTTAGCAATCTTTATTCAAACTCTGTTTAAAACGCACCAAACTAGTCGCATCGGAGTAAATTATATTATTCTCATTATCAAACGCTAACCCAAAACAATCATCTACATCCGTCACTTTGTCCAAAGCGTGTCTTTCCTTATTAACTTTATAAATATCATCAATTTCACAAACATAAACGTTACCATTTACATCAGTGGCTAGACTACGTACAGTTTTGTTGTTATTGTACAAAATGGCATCTTTAGTGCCTTTCTTTTGAGCGTACAACCCGCTAGCATTGGTATAAAACAACATATCTTCATTGTCTATAACAAATTGATCTACTTTCGTATCTTCTAGGTCTTTGAAGCGAGTCGAAACACCGTCTATGTACGTGTACAGGAATTGCTTGGGAAAGTCTGAATAGTAAAGACTGTCTTTATAGTAGATCATCCAAACGTCTGTGTCGGCTGCACCGAAAAACTCAGCCTTTTTGGACTTGTGGTTGTATTTGTAAATGCCATCGCTACCACCTATGTATATTTCGTGGGTTTTCTGATCTACCGTCTGAGCGAAACCGTTCGTGACCCCGTCGACGTCGCCATTAGATTTCGTGTTCAAGTTGATAAACGCTGTTTTGTATAGGACATCATTATTCATAACAGCATTGTAGCTGAAGTATACAGTGTTGGTGCTGTAATCTACTGCCAGGAGGTACGGCCTGTCAATATCTGACTTCAGAACTTCCTTTTCATAGTAGATGCCGTCAATAATTACCCCATTGCACTCTTCTCTAATGACCCCAGCTTGTGTTAGCATAAAAGTATATATGAAAATTATGATTCGCATGTCTAGAAAAGATACGTATTATTTAGTACACTTTAAACGGTTTTAAATAGATAAAATTAAATAACGTTTACCTGTTTTTAAAAGTGTCTCACCAATATATCTATAACTTCAAGCGATATTTCAACACAACACATACACTTTGATTATGTTTGTATTATCCATCTATCTGTTCTACGTAGCCTTCAAACAATTACTAAGATATATCGATATACAACAATTATTACTTGTTGGGAATACAAAAATATGAGGAGACTCCTATTTATTTTTATTTTTTTTACTAAGAATACTTAACAAAGTTAATTCATTCAGGAATTTATCTATGATTAAACTGAATTAAGATTTTTATAAATATCTAAAAAATATGATTTCTATTTATTATTATTAATGTAGTTTTTTGCTGCTTATGTCTGTAACCATTTATTTTATATAAGTATTAGGAACAAAACCAATTTATACTAAATAAACAATAATTAAATTGGCCGTCTCTAAGTTTTTTCTGTCTTAAGGAAAAGTTAAAGGTTATCTTAGTATATTGTAAATCATAAAATCCAAACACACATACATAACATCACAAGTATTCAATTTTTAAATAATAAGATTAATTAATAATATTCCTCATTTGAGTTTAAATATTTAAGAAATAATAGTCACTTGCTTAGACTTCCATACGCGCGTAAACTTTTTTTTTTGTAAGTAAAATATATTTTCTCGAGATTAGAGGCACCAAAAAGCTTGCTTGTCTCAGCTATCTAGTTGTTAGTAAAGTCGAACATCACAAGGTCTTAGATTCGAATCCCCGATTGGGTAAAATATTAGTTCGGTATTTAGAACATTTCTAATAACAAACCGCAGTTCCAAACTTCCTGAAAGATCCAGTTGTCATTGATTTAGTGCTGAAACACACCGACCCGCACCATGGCAGTGTAGGGAATGTAGGTCTAAGCTAAAACATGAGGGATGGAGAAGACGTGGGTCAGCTTGTAGGACATGAATATGTTTAAACAAAAATAGTTTTTCCATTGTTTGTTTCCCATCTATGTTTATTCCATGTTAATGAATGTGGTGTCCTTTTTTACAGCCTAAAGCCTACGAATTCGGTTACTCAGTCAAAGACGCCACATCAGGCAATGATTACGACCGACGTGAGATGTCTGATGGAAACGAAGTGCGTGGAGAATACAGAGTACAGTTGCCTGATGGAAGAACACAAATTGGTATGATTCTGTCTAGAGCTTTGTTGGGATAATATAGACATATTTTAATACTGAACATGACTGCCGAGAAGATTACTTTTAGAAATTTGCATTGAATGAGGAAACGCGACCGTTAAGATTTTGCTAGATTTAGTCGACATGGAAAATGCATAGTATTTTTTACTTATATTCATATAAGTGTAAATTATTAATATCTTATCATAACTTATTTAACGTAACGAAATGTATGGCTAATAATTATTATAATCAATGGCTACCATCCCCAAATCGGCGTAAAGGGCATAGATACGATGTACGTGCGAAGAAAAGGCCGGTAAGCTTATTAGCATTTGAGTTTCAATCTGTGGATTTCAGAACATCCACAGCCAAAAAAGGTCAACAGCGCATTCTGTCGAGATGTTACATGGCTAGGCCTTCCGTCAAGTATATGTTTAAGCCTATGCTTGTCTGTGCTCCCCTATTACGAAAAAAACAAACAAAATTCATACAGAACCCTAATGTACAAATTTACACTGCGTGAAAAGGGCCTAATTCCGTATCCCATGTATGAAGCAGACACATTTTCGTGTCTGTTTATATACATCGACGTATATTTACATTAAAATAGTCAGACTTTAGTAACTCACCCAATTGAAAGTACAATATTTTCCTGGGGTTACAACTTTAAACTTCTATAGTGTATTTTTTCTAACTTAGCAAAAGACCAAAACAAATATGGCCGATTTTAAACCATAGAGAACCTACCTTTTATAGAGGGACGTTGTTGCCACAGATGACACAGGGATATAGACATCCATTATGTATGGACCAAACGACCTCAGTATTCAAAAACAACAATTATGAAGATCTTTTTAATTTTTTTATGTCATTATTTAACTCGACGCCTTTCAGCGATCAAGCATAGTCCCGCTTGGACTTCCATTTTTTTCATTTCATTTCATTGTCGTTGATTTTGCTTTTATCCCGTTGATATATAAATAAAAAACTAAAGAAATTTTAATCTGTGGATTTACGTAAATTCATATTTAAGGTTTTTATTAATTTTAGCATGAAATGGTGGTTTTAATTTAGTGAATTTGAAATAGTTTATTACCCAGTGTCTCAAAGTGTTTTTCCCAAAAAATTCCAAGTTAGGAAAAATACATTATAGCTATCTAACGCTTTAACATTAAGCAACGGATATCGACTCGCACTTAGCTGCTTTTATATTACAATATTTGATTACAGTTACTTATCACGCAGACTGGCAAACTGGCTTCCACGCTGATGTGAGATATGAAGGAGAGGCACATTATCCAGAAAACAATAACTTAGGTCAGAAATTAATTTGAATATTATTTTAAAATAACCTAGCTATAACGCTTAAAACACAACTGTAAATATATGTGATAAAGTTCAAAATATTAATAAAACACAAACTCTCATAACTATTTATATAATTGTGTATAAATATAATATATCAAAGAAGAAAATATATAGAAAGGGTATATTTTGTAACTATGCAAAACGCCGGGTTGTAGTTAATTAAAATTTCGCACTTAGAACCGTGCAATAATAACTTTTAATATTTTAAGGGGCTCGTTGGTGTAATAGAGCAGCTGGTGTTTCATAACCAACGGGTCTTGGGTTCGATCCTTACCAGGTCCTACATGTTTCCAATACAATTTATAATTTTCCTAAAACATGTTGGCATTCGTCTGGAAATCTTTATATTAAATGGGTGATAGGGAGAGCCGTGACGTTTAATCGCGTTGCAGTTTCGGCCTCCAGTTCCGAATATCCAAAACCAAAGTAGGTCGTTGGCGTGTCTCGTTTAGATGTTATATGGCTCACCATCTATCAAGTGACCCCTATACTTACCTGGCCTCATCTATCATAAGCAGTAATTAATAGTTTGCTTGATTTTCCTTCTCATTTTCAGGTTCAGGTTACAACAATGGTTATAACTACAATGCGCCAGATTTTTCTGGATCACTCACCGGTTTCCATGGCAACGGGCAGCAGCTACCGAAACCTTCGTACGGCCCCCCCATCATTTCATTGATTAGATTGTAACGCTCGATTTAAGGAATCACGCCAGTATTAGTACTACTACCGCCATTTTGACAATTATTAAATTGGCCAGTTAGAAGAGTATTTTTAAAAGAGATTTATTTTCGAAGAAATACAACAACTTTTATTAACAATAAAGTATTTACTTCATAAAATGCGAATATTCAAAACGACAGGGCATCTTGTAGGTTTATATGGCTGATATATTTTACCTTCCATAATAAAAAATATCGTATATGTCTATCCTCCTCTATCATAAAAGAAAAATCATATTTTGTTTTTCCTTTACTTTTTTATTATTTAACTTCCTTTTTCACTTTACTTAGTTGATAAGATATTTTGTATAAAGACGTTATTTTTTTTATATTAAACAATTTTTTTAATATATAAATGTTTGATTTCACAACGAACATTTTGGTTTGGTTTGCAGGTAACTTGTAGCCGGTATAATTCATGAAAACCATTAACGTAATCACTAATATTTATTACAATACAACTAACTACTTAATACAGTAACAGTATTTATTTAAATGCGGGCTTTTATCGTTCAAACATGCGGGTTCTCTGCCATAGCTGAAACAAGATTATTAGAAAATATAATTTTCACATTACAAAAAATGCAACCTTTTTATTAGATTTTCATGAACAACACATTTTCTTTATTTATAGGCCTTCATCGACTCCTCTTTTGTGGAAAGTATTCTCCCTGGATAAGGATAATGTACATCCTGGCACTGAACGAAAATGATAACTTCAATCATTTTGCATTTCATAGACATGTTGGGCTTCGTTTAAAAATAGTAGTTTGGAGCAGGAATATCACAATTCCGTCCAGGTTACGGACCACTGTCCGTGGTAGTCAAATTGTCGTTTTTCTTCTTCTTGTCTGGTTACATTACAGTATTTTTTACAAAAACAAAATAGTGTTGTCACTTACGCGGAAATTCTCGATATATCCCCATCTGTGACAGTAAAAGAATCGTTCGAAGCCGTATACTGGACGGTAGCTTCAAAAATTGCCAGACCTGGGCTCATTACAATCTGAAAAAGGCAATACAGATATTATATAATTAGCTGTATCCGGACTTCATGCGCGTAGGACAGTTATTTTGGGCGTCAAAAATTATTTTTGCAATTCTCCTCATCTTTATAAATCATAGCCGTTAACCTTTTAATATATTAGTATAGATAACCCATTCCATATAGTCCGAAATAATATTTGTATACTAGCGACCCGCCCCGTCTTCGCTCGGCTGCAATTCTGATACTAAATACACTACAGAAAAACTGTGAATGTGTGTGTTGTATATAAAAACCTTCCTCTTGAATCACTAAAAAGACCGCATCAAAATCCAGTAGCGAGAGTTTTAAAGATTTGTAATGTGGTGATGTCAACTAAGAAGAAATTTATTAATTATAGGTTATAAGTTCCAAAACAGATTGTAACACGATTGGTGATTTTATTTTTAATTTACATTTTCTTTTGATACATTCCGACCACCAAGACACAATACTTAATAGTTTTAAAACAAACTATACTCACCACTAGTTGGTAGAAGGTAGTTTCTTGTAGAGTTGAATTAGTCCATTTGACATCTCTTCTTATCACCCACTCTACTTTCGTCAATTTTCGTTCAGCGCACTGACTTCTGAAAATGAAATATACATAAAAATTAAAAACATACTATAGGACATGGAATTTTGTGTTGAACATCTACTTTTTACACTGAATAAAATTTAATGACACAATTTCTGCATAATAGGTTTAAATGTAAGTTTTTTTGCTTACTATAGGGGGACATTGTATGTAAAATACATCGACCAACCTTTTTTCTGCAGTAACATTGTTAATGTAGATACACAGTAAATCCACCACTCTCTTGTAGGCAGCGTCCTCCCGGGAAACGGTGCGCCATTTCGCGTTAGTGCAGACACACCAGTGGGGGTGAATACCCGCTTCTTCACAATTGCGGGTGGATGATATCTAGAAATCGATGACATGTTTGGATTATTGAGCTTGAATTATTGACCTGCTTAATGTATAAGTATTGACAGGAGCCGCATCTTAGGAGCCATAAATGCTACTAAATACTGTCTATAGTTTACGCGAGTACACATTCAAATAAAACACTTTACGGTTTAAAACGCGATTAGTTAAACTTATTAAAAGCAGCCCTGGTAGGGGAAGACGCGTCTCCCCGTGACCACGGCTGCTACTGCAAAGCATCCGAAACGTCGGGCCGAAGTTAAAAATTATTCTCAATAAGTTTAATTAATATATCGCGTTTTAAACCGTTAAAGTGTTTTATTTAAACACTTTTTTACCACTCTCCCCCACTCTCCAATAGTATAAGAAAAATATAAATTTAGGCCGACCGTCTCCCCATGTTAAATATTTATTACGTAAGATTCTAAAGGAAAAACAGTTCTTGTAAGCATTTGCTTAAAGTTTTCAGGAATGGTTTTCGTTTTCTTGGTAGTAATAAAGTTTAGTTTTAATCATTCATATAACATACAACTGAATATCCTTACCTTAATCTTGACGAGCTTATCGGTGTAGCGGTAGCAATTCATGGCTAATCATCAAAGGGTCGAGCTCGATTCCTACTAGTTTCTACATTTTTCTAATCAATTTATAATTTCCTAAAATATGCTGGATTTCGTTACACAAACTGATGACAAACTCATCAAGTCTAATCGCGTTTCGGTTTGTGTGTATACTGCGGATTTCCGAACATCCAAAGCCAAAAAGGTCGACAGTGCATCTAGTTTAGAAGTTATATGCCCATATGGTAACAAACCTACCATCAAGTTAACCTCGTGCTTGCTGACTTTGCGACCTCTCCCCCCCCCCTAAATCGTCTTACATAATAAATTAATAGGCTCTTTACTTTTAGTTATATTTAAACAAAGTTAGGAAAAATATTACAACTTACTGGTTCCAACAAGCTGAAACCTCTCAACGTGTTAGTGTTAGGTACTTTATAATCACTGGCAAGCCTCTTCAAGCCCATAGCATCTAATACAGTGGTGTGTATATCGAATGGGGTGGTCAGGACTTTTGAGTTGGACTTCAGAGACCAAACAGCATCAGGACGCTCTCGCTTGAGTTTCTCTGGTAGAGCGATCGACATGAAGGGCATGCGTTCCTCTATTTTGCCCTGGTAAGTGTTGCGCATTGGTGAGAATCTAGAAAGAACGTGTCTGGTCTATAGTTTACGCAAGTAGTACACATTTAAATAAGCCACTTTAACAGTTTAAAACTTATATATTGCATTTTAAACCGTTAAAGTGTTTTATTCAAATATTTGTTGTCTTATTTATTTATTAAACTTTATTAATTACGAACACCACAGGAATGTTTACAATAAAGCCTTATCTAGCATAACTAAAAGGCTATCGCTAAACAGCGTTTACTTCCAGGCAACCAGATTGCTACTTATTTAAAAAGCCAAGATTAGTTAGTTAGTCTTTATCATATTTTTAGTATAACTTAACTGTTTTTTATACAAATACGGTCTGTATTTCACGCGAGTGTTTTATTTAAATGTGCACTAGATTAGAGATATCCTCCATCTTTAGTTTCCCTGTAACCACGGCTGTTGCAAAGCATCCGAAATGTCGGGCCGTAGTTTTAAAGTGTTTCAAGTGTGTACTAGTCGCATAAACTACATACATTACATACTAGCTGTGCCCGCGACTTCGTTTGCATGAAATAGTGACTTTGGGTAGAATTTTTAATTATTTAGGTTGTTTATTTATTTATAAAAGGGCATACCAACACTCCCACCTTACCTTACATCACTTCTACTCTAACTCCCACCCCCATTCTCACTCTCATTCCCAAAAAGCCAATAAATTTTTTTTATTGTTCTAGCGTCAAATATCACGAATTTTCATACAAACATTCATCCCCCTTTTCAACCTAACAACCCTTTTTTGGTATTAAAAGCCTAAGTCCTTTCTCAGGCTCTAGTATCTATCTGTGTACTAAGTTTCATTTAAATTGGTTCAGTAGTATCGGCGTTGAAACCGGACAGACAGACAGAGTTACTTTCGCATTTATAATATTAGTATAGAAGTATAGATTTAAATACTTCTACTAAGAATTCACAAACCTCGGTCCGTGATCTCCCATAAGTATGAAAAGGGTGTTCTCTAAAATCTTCGACTGCTTTATGTATCTCAGAAATTCTACAAGATCATCGTCCACCGTGGAAATCATATTGAACTCGTCGTGAGATATATCCGCCATGAACGTAAAGCAGAACTTCTTCGCGCTAACATTCATGAACTGAAAATGAAAAAAAATATTTTATTATATTGCATTAACAAGTTAATTCTCTCAGTTAACAAAGGAAATTTAATAATTAATTTCTGAAACATGTTAGACTTCGTCTGGAAACCCCTATATTAAATGCGTAGTAGGAATATAGAAATTTCGCTCAAGTCACGTCCGAACCACCGTCCACAGATTAAAAAGCCGTGAAGCTTAATCGCGTTTCGGTTTCAGTCTGTGGATTTCCGAATATCCAAAGCCAAAATAGGTCGACAGCGCATTTTGTTTAGATATTGTCGCTGAGGTATATCACCTACCATCATTAAAAAAATAAATTTTATGTATGTTAACTCCAACCACATACCTGTTTAGTCAAATCCATGAGCACCTTATACTGCGGTTTGTCCCCGATGCAGTACCGCCCCTTTGTCCCGTGCCACCATTTGCTTCCGGACTTAGACTCCTCCATCAGAAACGGACGCAAATAATGGTCCGCCGGACATTTATTGAACCCGTTGTATCTGTATTGGAAGGAGCCTATCCAGGGCATATCTTCGTAGTACGCTGTGCGGTATCTGGAATTTTTCACAAAATTCATTAAAATACTAGCTGCGTCAGCGACTTCGTCTTCGTTGAATATTCTAATTTTCTGGCAAACAATCAATTCGAACCCGTACTTCCCGAAATTAGAGCTTCAAACAATAAACAAGCTTTATATTAGTATAGATATCGAATAATCTATACTAATAATTGTATTTAAAAAATAAAACTTGAATTGTTACATATTTTACTATTCTTAAAAGAATTGTCAATTGTAGTTTGTAGTGTAGCGCTAATCTAATGTTTCGATGCGTACGCTGCGAAAATAGTTCAAGATGTCCAAAAAGTAAAAAAAAAAAATCCAATAACTATTCTCGGATGAAACCGCTGACACAGCTAATATGTTATATAATACATATCGTATCATACCCGTCTTCTTTAGCAGTGTGGAATATAAACAGATCCGAATCCAAGTGAATGTATTTGGAGTAACGTATCCTTGCGCTGGGGTGTTGCCATTCGTGTTTCCCCGATAGAATGGGGAAAAGCGCATCTGGGGTACCATCCCCTACTATGTTGTAGCTGGAATTGACAAGTATTTAATTATAAACGACAACTATTTAAATGAGAGTTTGTTAGTAACACTTAAAACAATTGCTTCGCACAGGACAAGTTAAATCGAGAGAACAGCAAAGGACATACTACCAAATCGTTCTATCAAATACTGTCAAGTACGCGAGAAGCTTTAAATAAAAGAAAGGAAAAGATGAAGATTTTAACTCGCCCGATAGCTGCAGCAGCCGTGATCACGGGGAGACTCCAAATAAGTTTAACAAATATCGCATTGTAAACCGTAAAGTGTTTTTTTAAACATAACAGTTTTTACTAAGTAGACTTCTCTTTTTTTATTTCTTTGTAATCATACTTAAACAATTAAGTAAATGGATAAACGTATTGCCTACCATTGCGTTAAGTACGAGAAATCCTGGGTTCGAATCCCAGGGAAACATTAAATTGTTTCGGACGGGCAGGGCACAGACGTCTGATCAACTGCTTGCCCGTTTAAAAGAACGGATCAGTGAAACGGACATAGAAATATGTTCACCCCATGACCCAAGGGGGAAACGGGCTTTCACTTTTAATAAGAAACTACTGCTAAGTTTTAACATAAGTAAAGGAGAGTTGTGTTAAAGTCTTAACACACAATTCGATGTTTAAATAAAACACTTCAACGGTTTAGAACGCGATATATTAGTTAAACTTTTTTGAAAATGATTTTTAACTTCGGCCCGACGTTTCGGATGCTTTGCAGCAGCCTTGGTCACGGGGAGACGGCGTTTTAAACCGTTAAAGTGTTTTATTTAAATGTGTACTACCCGCGTAAACTATGGACAGTATACAATTAGATGTATTACCATAAAAAAAATAGTATAAAAGGGAACACTTAAGCGAATGCTTATTCCGGGCCACATGAGGACAAATTAAGAAATATAAATTATATACTCACAAAAAACAAAAAACAATCAGATATCTAATTAGACAAAGTTTAAAAAAAAATAATATTTATTAAAAACTTTAATATTTCACACATTTATTGCACATGGCATTATATAAATTCAATATTTCCTTTAGTTTGAAACTGCATGTATCAATTGAGGTTGAAAAAAAAACTATGACATATAGGACACATAACTCAATGGGTCAGAGCACGAATCGTTTGGGGATGTCGGTTCGATTACTGCCGTGTCCTATTTCTTTTTTTAATTTAAAATCAATTTTCAAAATGTATATACATATTTAAAAAAAGTAAATAATTACATGACCTTTTGCGTTGGTCACCTCACTTGCTCACCCCTTCAATATAACAGCTCCAACTTCTTCAACCAACACCTTGTAACTCTTGGGCAATTTACGTACGAAGCCGTTGTACGCTGTGGAGTCGAAGGCCATAATAAGTACATTGAGGCTGTCCATACGCGCGGCGGTCACAGGGGGTACTGACACTGGTCGGATACCCACTTTATAGCCCAGCCATCTACGAGACAGCAGGTTAAAACTGAAACAGATACACAAAAGTTTGAAATACCCAGTGAAGAAATATTGTGAGAAAAATGACTACTGCACCATAACGGTTTTAAACGCGAAATATATTCGTTTAACTTATTTGAAAATTATCCGACGTTTCAGATGCTTTGCAGTAGCCGTGGTCACGGGAAGACACGAAACGTCGGACCGTAGTTAAAATAATTTCCAAATAAGTTTTAACTAATCTATTATAACCGTTAAAGTAATATTAATATATTTTTTTATGTTAAAGTATTATTTCCTCCACATGTTGAGCGCAAAAGTATGATCAAATAAATTAACTAAAGTAAATTATAAAGGTGAAGATATTTTTATTTACGACATTAGTGGGATTAGTTTTTACCTTCCATAGATTTAATTTCGTTTTAAGCATAAGCGTTTTTAGATAATATATTGTATAAAAGTTCATTTAAATTACCCCTTCCTGTCATATCCATAGCAGGACACCTTAAAATAATCACTTTGATTCAAGATGTATTTTTCATCGTTGAAAAGTTTAACACCATCGGCCACCTTGTAATTGTGATCATCTATGTAAACTATATCTTTGTAAGTGCATGATACATCCTTTAATTCGAGTAGTGTTTCCTCAGTTACAAAGCATTCAGACATCTGAAATTAAAATGACCCTTGTTAAATGCTGTCTATAGTTTACGCGAGTAGTACACATTTAACGGGGAGACTCCCCGTGACCACGGCTGCCGCAAAGCATTCAAAACGTCGGGCCGTAGTTAAAAATCATTTTCAAATAAGTTTAACTAATATATCGCGTTTTAAACCGTTAAAGTGTTTTATTTAAATGTCCGTTTGTTCTTAACTATTGAGACTAAGACATGGTATAGATGAGGCCGATACAGACAGAGTAGCCTATCTGCATTTTTATGACTTGACTCATTTATATTTTTATAGTCTAAAAATGTTTATCTACAAGAGCACAGTGACCTAAAAATTGTAAACAATTCTTAGAGAAATAATAGTACAAATTTATTTTCCCATAGGTTAATTGTGTATTTTTATTTTTCTCCTTATTGAATATCACATGATTTTTTGTTATTAGGCCACTCTGCCTCAAGCGGCCTCATATTCTATTGGCAGTATTCTAATTATTGTTTTTTTTTTATAATAAATAAGTATAGTTTGACTAAGACGTTTTTAGTTAAGTAAGGAATTGTATCTCCAATGTGGGGACATAGGGCTAATACATCATTAAGTTAGTTCCCCTTGTTATTATTTCAAGGCAAATATAAATATATAAACACAATTGTGGCCTATCTACCTGGTATGTTTCTACAGTATTTATATCTAGGTCAACTATGCTATGAAAAATATTTTACAACTGTGTCTAGATTTTCTTATGTTGGTCACAGCAGTGGAAATTATTTATAAGTTGACGATGATACAATTAATTAAGTCCACTCACAGTCCTACTTATATACATTTTACTAGTATTTTTACTTTAATTTTAGATTCCATAGTGACTTTGAAATTAAAGAATATACACTTACGTTACAAGTAACCCAGTCTCTCCCCTTACAATTTATTTTAGGGTAATCCCTATTAAACTTCATAGCAACTTCAGAAAATGGATTAATTTCTGGAAATGTACAGCCGAGCTCTGAGGATGCATCACCGAATATATTGAGATGGGCACTGGAAAGAAACACAATAAAATGTAAAGAAAATATTGTAAAAACCTTTAACTAAGTCTTTGTTATTTTAGATTCTACCCTAAATCTATAATAGATATGTAGTAGTAATATAAAATAAATAAAGAAAAAATAAAAAGTATCGCCCGAACAGGGACTTGAACCCTGGACCCTTGGATTAAAAGTCCAATGCTCTACCGACTGAGCTATCCGGGCTATATTATTGTTGTTGAAATTAGAGTTGAGAATATAGGTTACCATTTTTAGTATGTACATGTAGTAAGTACATATTATATATTTTTTTAATTAATTACCAAAATATTATTTTACTTTTTTTATATTTTTACTGCAATTAATTTTTAACATAGAAATTGTAATAATAATTTTATTTACACATTTACATGGTTAAGTTATATAATATTATTTATATTATGGTTTAATTTTATTAGTATCACCTTAATTTAATGAACTTATTCTAATAAGTTTAAAGATAAAGTTATTGATGGAAAAATTGTCATTTACAAAATTATTAAAGAACATAATATCTATTTACTAATGTTATCACTTCATCTCTTGTTTCATTTAAAACTAAAGGTGTTATTTTGTTTGTTGTTAATTAATGAGATAACATTTTTTTATGCTATAAAACACCCAAAAATTATCAATCAGCCCAGCCAACTAACCTTTGTTTGGAGGAAAGATTGTATTTTAACTAATAAGATATTTCTTTGGGCGATGTTGTATGCTATTGTACAGTTTCCTAATTAATTCATATACAATTTTAGTTCTTTACAAATACATTGCGTTTATAGTAAGTACAAGGAAGATCTAATATTAAGGTGTGTTAAAGAATGAAAATTGTCAAAGAATACATAATATTTTTTATTTAATTATTTAAGTTTTGTTATATTGTAATATTCTTAGACTTTTGTTTCAATTTTAAGAACTTACTTTGTATATGTATAAATGGATATAACATTACTTACGGATTAGTGTTATATATCTCATCATTCAACTTTCTATACATCAGTATATAAAAACTGGTTAGGACAAGTGATCCAATCAGTAGAACAAACAGCATTTGAAACTTCCTTGAACGGTTCTGAAGTCTTTTTTATTCCATATGGAACCTGTAATTGTTATATGTATAATTAAAACAGTAGTTCTTTAATTTATTAGGAGTTAAAAAAGGTTAAGATTCTTATGTTGAAGAGCTGGGTGTTTTAAACAGTAGAAGAGAAGATATCTAATACTTTCAATAACTAAATTATAGTAAAAAGTAACGCCTGCGAGAAGTCGTTAACGTTTCCACTTAGAAAACATGGAATTTCATACATCTATAGCCATACTAAAATAATCCCTTGTAGAAATGAATTAATCAATACTTTTCCAGTTTAGTTTTTTTCTAAATAATAAAAAAAAACATCGAAAGTGTAATAATTGATACTTTTTTCTTTACCACCAGCAATAATGATATTGAAATCCATTTTATTGACTTATCTTCTTTGTTTTTCTTCATAATGTATTGAATAGTTTTTGCAAACAACAAGCAATGGGCAATGGCGGTTCAGCGATAAAATTTTTAAATTTAAAAACACAAAATCTTAAATTGAGTGTTGCCACAGCCTTACTAGGCTCAAATTCCTATAATATTAAAAAAAGGCTGTATATGTATAAAATATTTTTTTTTGCACAGAAATAGTCAATGAGCTGGTGTTTCTTATCATTAAGAAAATTAGTTTTTATTATAATCGATGAGAATTCAACAAAAAAATATTGAGGAAACATTTTAAATAAAATTTCCTGTTGATTATACACAAATGGTCACAAAATTACATCGCGGCAGAAATATAATTTTTCTAAATTTGATTGATAACCCGTAATAAGAGTTAAAGAGGTAAATAAAACTAAAAGACTAACCAGGTGATATGTTTTATTTGTTGTTTATATAACTTACAACAGTGTGTGACTGATTATTTATTTACAAACTTAAATATTGTGCGTAAATTTAATCGCAAACACATACTTACAATATAATAAATAATAATGGAACACAGGACTACTACTGTAAAGTTGTATTGGTGGTATCATAAATTGTTACCGTGAACCGTTAATAAAATGCTTATCACTTACTGAAACTTTGCCTCGAAAATCAATCTTCGAAACAGGCAATAGGGCTTAATTCTAACTTAACAAATAAATCAGCAACTGCATAAAAGGGCTCATTTAACTTATTAAACGATAAAGCTTTTAAACCAGCTATATTCGAAACTTTGTCATACACATATTTATATTTATTATAGACGTACACACCTTTCCTTGTACAAATATATGGTTTGTTGTATTTATCTGTAGTTAGAGCATCAACAATATACATTTCGTGTGTATTAATCGCTCTAGTCCCTATTTTGACTCTAAATAATTTCTTGTTTTGGGTAAAAAATATGTTATTCTCATCGTCTATAACAAGACGGTCAACTTCTACGCCTAATAATTCGGGGACTAAAGAAGCATAGCCGTCTTCAAACTTGTAGGCCTCTCTTTTGCTATTTGTAAAGTACAACCCATCCTTATAATGTAGGCTTCTTATATCGTCTTGTATGGGTAATCTTTCTGGTATTTTTTGGTTGTTTATTTTAAATAGCCCATCGGCACCACCAACGTAAACTTTACCATAAAATTGATCTACTGCAACGGCGGTTGCGTTTCTTATACCACCAATGATACCTGCCTTCTTTGCGTCTAGTTCTATATACCCCAAAACCCTTAAAGGAGGCGTCGTCAAAGTTTCATATGTAAAAAACACGTTATTATCATTTCTGTTAATAGCTAAATCATGCAGATGATTAATTCCTTCTTTAACGATCAAAAGGTTGAAGTATTTTTCGTCGAAATCAACACCTCGGCATCGTTTATCTGCATCCGTGAAGGCAAAGAACGAGGCGATTAATAAGATGAGCTTCATGATGCTTCTGGAAAAAATAATTTAAGAACCATGTCTTAGAAACTGAAAATTAATTCATCGATAAATTTGCAACAATATTTAACCGCTATCTTTTCCTAATTTGTATTTAAAATTTGCATTTACATTATATTTTAATTAGGTATGGTCCGTGGGAGAAACATGAAGTGGAATAAAGATTTAATCATGCACAGTTCCGCCGATGGTAACGATTGTGTGTCTAATTTGACACACTCTACAATCTGTTTAATATGCTTTAAGTATATGTTACTGCGCTTACATAATAACTACTGACCTCAATTTGCCGTTCTATAGAAAATAATTTTAGAAGTCGAATACTTCCGTAAAAATCCGGTTTTCTATTGTTTCGGTCTACAACAAAACTAAAAAGTCTAGTTGATTAACAATTAACTATATCTTTTGGAGTTAGGGACTAATGTTAGAATTTAACTAATTACAAAAATATTTCGATATTATACAAAATATTTTTTTATTTATCTAAATGAACATATTATTTGTAATTCGACTAAAAAATATTTTTTTATACACTTTATACACCTTACTGCTTTATATAAAGTTGGACTTATTATGTATGTATGTAAAGCTACAAAAAATATATAATACATATTACCTTTTTGCATCACAAGTTAAATCACAAACACGTTATTTGTAGTACATCAGCGATCGTCAACTGGTGGTCAACTGTATGTACACTTATCTAAAAGTGCGTGATTATTTGTGACCAATAAATGAAGAATTGCTTGACCTAAAGACTTCTGAACTTCCGATTGTTTACCTACGTAAGATTTTTTTTAAGGTTTGCAGTTCAGGGTCATGCTTTACAAGTTTACTACAATATTTGAGTTTACAAATAATAACTTTAATTTCCTTGTTTTTTGTTTAAATTAAGTGCTATGATGGAAAATTTTAATAAAACTGTATCAATGTTTAAAATTTAAGCTACCTTTGAGTAAATTAAGCAGGTAAATGCAATATGTATATATAATATTTTTTACTGAGACTATAAAATCAAAATTATTGGTATAGATATTTTATTCCGTTAAAAAACAAAACAAAATTATATATATTTATACGATATAATTACAACGCTTGAAAACATTGAGTGTTTTTAACAATATAAAATACATATAAAGTTTTAAAACACTTAAGACATGTTTAGTGACATTTGTACTCAAAATAAGATTTCAGATTTGTATATATATTGTCGTTTAATTCTTAGTGATGGTATAATTGTATAATATTTTTTTGATAAATAGTTTTTATCTTAAAACGTTTATTATAGACAAAAATATATGTGTTTTGCTAGCACTGTCTCTTCCGCTAGAGATAAAGTAGCCAGATTTAAGCATAGATTTGTTATCTTTGGCGCATAGCTCGTAACGCGGTCAATAGTCACATAGCTTACGTCATTGTCATGTTTGGAAACTCTGTATTTTGACAACTGATTTTGCATAATGCATTGCATATGCCGTGGTAACTGCTAATAGTATGGCTATTAGTAAAAGTGTTATCATGAATAAAATAACAGACGTTACATTTTCATTACAAATAAATCATTTACTTTATAAACATTAATTTTATCATAAACTCGTCGACCGAAACATTTTATTTTGATAATTTACCGAATCGCCGCAACATTGGGTTGTAATCAAATTGTGTTTATAATATTTTCAAAAGATCCCGTCGCTAGTTTCAGTAGGTCAGTTCCTGAGATCTAAGATATTGAAAATTCGTGAAGTGTCGACATACAAGATTTTGTGAATTTTTGTTCTAGTGTAGTGTATTGTTATATCAACAGGGCACTATTTATGTAAGTTTCTAATATTTGTGCGCCTTTTTAAAAAACGCGTACAACATAACAAAACCTTTGAATTTATAATAAATAAAAAAAATACCTAGACTTTAGAAATATGTACAGGCTTTTATAAACAAGTTGACCCCAAATATCAAAAATCATTATTTTAAGTTATTACTCACTTAATTCATTAAAGCCTTAAAAAACCTCTAAGTGCTTACTGATTATAATATAAAAACGTCTCTACCTACTTACCTTATAAGATTGCTTAATTCACAAATATTTGATAATATTAACACACAAATTAAACTTAATTAATATATTTTTAACTATTACATTCAATAAAAAAATATTTCATGCTTAATTATTAAATAAACTATTTACATAAGAACAAAGTACAACACTTGAGATCCATTTATGCATATTGTATATTTGTAGTTGGTGAATTGCTGGATTAGATAGAATTTTATTATTTTATAATCTGTTCATTCAATATTGTCTATCTTTTGTATAAGATGGCATATCTGTTTTTAATGTTATGCTTCCTGTAGCAATTTGCAGATCAAAATTTAATCAGTAAAATATTGAATTTATATACTTAAGCTTGAATATTCTGTAGAGTTGAGAAATGGTCACATCATCGGTGGTCACTTGGCTTCTGCATCCTCAATAGAAAATATTAATGAATCTATTGTTACTTTGTTATATAATTTTACCATGTTTTTAAGGATGGTAAACTTGTCTAAGTACATACATATTATACTGTTCAAACAGATGTCTTTCAAAATATGTTTAGTTAGTAGCTACCACCTGTTATAATAGAAAATTGTTTAATAGTTTTATTTACCATTAGTAATATAGACGATATGGCAATAGGAACACCTTTTTCATAGTCGTCATTATCTTATTAGGAGTATTTTGACATATTCAAGTATTAAAAGGTATTTTATGAAACAATTTGTTTTCTCATATTTTTCAAAACTTCATCTTAAGAATAGTCCAAAACGGTTACCAGGTTTCTTATTTTTTTAATAGTTTTTACGGTTTAATTTATTTAGATAAGAAAGACAATATTATAGATCTTGCAATATGATTTAATATTTGAAACAATTTTCCTTATTAATCTAGGTATTTCTGAATAGTTTCTTTTATAAAATATTACTTAATGCTCTCTTTACGTATTGTTTCTATCCAAGACCTTGTGTGAATAGTAATTGATAATTTTCCTCATTTTATCTTAGAATTGTGAACTACAGAGTTTTTAATCAGATGACTCAACGTCTTTTGGAATTCGTAGTTTCTCTTTTTGACCTTTATAAAATGTAACTTAAAACTTCGCGATAAAGTGTATATTTTCATGTAATCACAGTTTATTAACTTTTTAGACAATACAATCCAACGCCTACATATAATATGTTTATTTTAAGTTTGTATACCTATATCTTTTAATTTTTTGTGCGTTGCTAAATAATACTATAGATAAAAGAATCGGCCTACATCAATGACGTCACATATTATCAAAAAGATAACAGTATTACCTTTATCGTGTATTTAGTTTCTTATTATTTACGCATATAGATTATAGATATTGATCGACTTGATTCGACTCGAATAAAATCGAGTGTTTGGCACCCGATAAATCGTAGCCGTAAAAATACAGTTCGTAATTAATTGTTTAATTGAATTTTCTTTAAATTATTTAGTGTTTTTTTATGGCCGCGTTAAATTAAGTTAGAGTTTCCTAATTATTTTTCGTGTTGTTTTAGATGTACAGTATGCCGAAAGTTTGGTACCGTATCAGGCGCAATCAGGTGGTTATTCTTATAGTAGTGGTATTTTCTCTGCTTTATTATATTTCACTAAGCAGCACTCTCCGAGAACCTAACTTGGATATAACACGGAGGTGAGTTCGTATGTTTTTCTGATTTTTCATAATGCTAATTTTTATATCACCTTCAATATGCATGTTAATTTCCACTACTAAATGATTCGTCTTGTAAAATCTATATCAATTTATTTTAAAACGTCACTTTTCTTAAAAGGTCAATCCTTAAGTTTGTGATATTATTGTAACGTCGACTTATCACAAAACAAATCGAAATGTATCGACTCTCTGCCTAATATGGATTTAATTTACGCTCGTATTTTGAAAATAGAAGATGCATTTTAGATTAATTCTTTTAGATATTTTAACGTTCTTTATTCAAACCAACACTACAAGTTGTTAGTTGTTGTCGGTTGCGTACATTTTTAAATAGATGAGACATTGCTTGGCATACCGTTTAAAGCGAGGTCGTCATCAAATCCCGAGGATTCATAATAAGGTAAATGATTTCGGTCAAGCAGGGGACAAGTTTGACCACCTTGCCTGTAAATTAGTGAGGAACTGAAATGCTGTCTGCCATACTTTAAAATTTGAATTACACACAATGAGTTTTTATTAATAAAATAGCTTATGTAAAATCCAAGAATATATAGTTTTTCATATTGATATTATATATTATTCGATAACTAAACGCAGCGTTAAATGGACAATCGATTTACGAAGAATTTGATAAGCTATCAATGTGATTCATAGACATTGCCACACTTCGATTTTATGCGATAAGTTTTTTTGGTGATAAATGTTTTTTAAATCTTTAAAAGGTTTCCTTGACAACAGTATATTTTATCAGTGTTAGATATGCAATAATATCTGACACTGATAAAATATACTGTTTGTAAAATACAACGTGTTCTATACCTTATATTGAATAAGTTGAAGAAATAACACATCTTTCGGTCAACCATCGATGTGTGTTATAAATATAGATTCAATAAAAATTAATATTATTTCCCTGATTTTTATATACCTGAACATTAAAACACATTATATTACACTCTCATGGCCCAAGGTCCCCACCCCTTCATCCGCGCACATATCTTACATTGCTTCTTCCATACTGTATATAGCGCTTCTCTTGATTTTGTATTTTTAGTAGCCATTTTTATTTTTAGTGCTAGCGATTTACTAAAGCGTGAAACTAACCTAGCTTCTTTGCCTGCGAGAGACATAGTTAATGCACCACACGACTATAACAACAGGTAATGGCTTTTTTTTCTTTTGTATATACTCGATTCTTTAATTAGCACACTAATAGAATAGTAGAATAGTGCTTGGCAGTAGAGTTATACCATTGTCGTCAGTAAATATTCTACGGTCACAATTGACCATTCTGTTAACAATCTTTGTCGCACACAATTCGTTCTGTTAGTCCCGTCAATAAAGAACTACATTTTTAATTCAAATATTATTTACCGTTAAATCTGATTATATAAATTCGTGATGTATTCTTTTTGATAGAAACATCGTCTGTAGTTTAATTTAAATAAAATACTTTTAACGGATAAAAACGCGAACTGTATTGGTTATCCTGAAAATTTTCAGTGCCTCATTGGTCACGGCTGCTGCAAAGCTTACGAAACGTCTGGCCGCAGTTAAAAACATATATTGTAAATAGTTTAATTAATACATTTCGAGTTTGTAACCGTTAAATATGTTATTTAAACATTAAAATCGTTGTAAAGACTCTGATTAGTAATGTATATTTTTATTGAGTATCTTAGTGTTTCACTCTGTTGGAGAAACGTCACGAAACTTACCATTAACTATTGCTTTGTAATCTATGCATACAAATTTTCTAATTATCCATATTTGGGTCAAATTAATAAAACGAAAGCGACTATTTAAAGCAAGTGTTTCACCTGCTGTTTTTTTTTGTTTGTTTCTTATTTTGTAATATAGCATGTTGTATGTATGTATTAACGTATTGTTTTTGTGCTTTATTTTCCAGAAACTCCGTGGCAGAGTGAGTATTAGAATGTTTTTATTTTGCATGCGCAGTAGAATTAGTAGTGGCCTTTTATGACAGATGGACAGACAAGCATCGGGTTTAATTGATGAAACCTAAAATACCCCTTCTTAATTAAGACGCGGTAATTTATCATTATTAGCAACTAGCTGTGTCAGCGACTTCGTCTGCGTAGAAAAGTAATTGCTCATCCATATGTGTTTTTGCAAACCTCCTTCTCATCTTTATAAGCTGTCACCCACTACGTCGCTATTGCAAGTTAATCTTAAAAGAAACTTTCATATATATTTTTTCGGTATCTTCAACCACTTTCGCAGCGCGGGCATTAGAAACCCAGAGATATTAATAATTTTGATCGTTTTTTTTCCACATTGCCCGCTGTATGTTTACTCCTATTAGTCACAACACTGTTTCATAATCTTTCTCGATAAATGCTCTAACACAAAAAATATTTTTAAATTCGAACTAGGAATTCCTGAGATTAGCACGTTCAAACAAACAAACTCTTCAGCTTGCAAAATGCACAAGACAATATTTAACGTAGTTATCATAAATAGTTCTCAGAATGCATTGATCTATAAGAAAATACTATATTTGACTTTAAACTGAAAAAAAATTAAAACCGTAGTACATACAGAAATTAAAAATACATTTTGTCATCATGTTATTTGCGTCAATATAATTGTAATTGTTAAACAAAATAAAAATATTACATGAAAATTGTTCTTTTCAACTTAAAGTAAAATCTCTTTTATATTAATATACATTCCTCAATAAATTATTTTCACTAACATTTTAGTTATCACGGCTACATCTAAGATATTAACATAAGTTTTTCTAATGAAGTTATTGATATTGAAGGTATATAGAAAAACGATTGGAAGAAGCGTTAAAGGAAGATAAGGGTACTGGATGTGAGATCCCCAAATTAGACCCCTTCGCTCCGGAAGTCACCAAATTTGACAAGGACCTGCCAAAAGTAGTTTGCTATGGTGTGGACTGGGTAAAGTGTTATGTAAGTTATGTAAATATTATATTTGCATTGAAAATTTCTAAATAAAACGCTAACGGTTTAAAACGCGATATAATATATTGTTACAATATATATATATAATATATATATATATAATGTGTTAATGAATAAGCATCCAAAGCTTTTGCATCACAAAATTTGTTGTTACAAATCTCTTCAATTCTCTAATAAATGATAGCAGTTACTCGCAACGTCGGTTGCGTCCCGTAGTTCTTGCAAGTTAAACTTAAAAGATAGACATATTTTCGTGGATATTTTTTACATCATTTAAAGAGGAATCATTTGTTTACCACATATTTTTTTGGGTACCATGAACCCTTTTCGCAGCGCACGCAATGGAAAACCTCTACTCTCCTATTGGTCGCAGCTTGCTTCAAGCCTTCTTCGATAACTGCTCTAACTAACACAAAAAGATTTTTTTAATTCGATCGAGTAGTTCCTGATATTAGCGCGTTAAAACAAACAAACAAATTCTTCATCTTTATAGATGAGTATAGATAGATTATACCTTTACTTTCAATTGTTATGAATAGTTATCCGTTCTTCAAAAGCTAAGTTGCCTAGCAGTGGCTCAACTCTAGTGTTTATCCTGGGTTCGAAACCCTTTGAAATTAAATAGTTTCGTTTTGACAGGCAAAATATATTATTTTGACGTACTAAAAGGTCGATAAAAGACATCAGTGAAATGGATGCAAAAATGTGTCTGCCATATGACGTTGTTGAAAATGTAAGAGTTACTTTGTAGAACTTGTTCGTATTTATTAAAGGTTTAAAACAATTAATTATACAAATCTCACACGAGTGAAGTAAGTATAATTCTACCGGTATGAACACTTGTGTTTGCTAGTATTAAAATTAGTATGCTATATAACTCGGTAGATAGAAGTGAAGTATCATACCCCACTAGCTGTGTCAGCGACTTCGTCCACGTACAATAGTTATTTTCTATTATTTTCTTTCTTTCTTTTCTATTAGTTTCTATATTAGTTTTTATTTCAGAAAAAAATATAAATAAAACAATTTAACGGTTTAAAACACGATATATTAGTTAACTAATATATCGCATTTAAACCGTTAAAGTGTTTTATTTAGAGTATAGATTTCAGAAACATACTTCTTAAAAAGTATGTACTTATGTTCAATTTTCAGTTGGACGAATGTAAAGTCGTGCCTGAAATATTGGACAGTACGAGCGATGTGGTCTGCACGTACAATGATATCATCTATGAGAGCGATGATAAGTACACAATCGGTCCGCCCACAGAAAAACGAGGTTCAGATGTTTACCCACTGATAAAGAGCGACCACGTGAAGATTAAATGCACTGGGACACACGAAAACAGGTATTAAAAAATCTATTTTAGGTGGCGAAAAAATGACATGGAGCCAAGAGAGTGTTTAAATAAAACACTAACGGTTTAAAACGCGATATATATTTGTTTAACTTATTTAAATAATCGCGTAAACTACAGACAGTATTTAAGACAGTGTCGCTGTCTACTAATTAAGGATCTATAACAATTGATTCTTTCAAATTTTCGTACGATAGAGGAGGGCAGAAAAGCCTCAGCCGTAAAACATCTAAACAAGATGTGACGTCAGCCTATTTTGGCTTTGGATATTTCGGAATACACGGACTGAAACGCGATTAAACTTGGAGGCTTTTTTATCAAGTTATAAGTATAAATGGATTGATCGAATTTGATGATGGCGTGTGTGACACGGTAGCTTATTTGATAGAGCAACATCGGGGAATCGTTGTGCGTTCAAGTTCATAACGCACATGTGAAAATAATGTTTCAAGGTAAATTATTCGGTACTAGCTGTGCCAGCGACTTCGTCCGCGTGGAATAGTCATTTTGGGCATCTAAATTTGTTCTTGCAAACCTCCCCTTTTTTTAAAAATATAGGTGTAACCTACGACGTCGGTCGCGCCCCATCGTTCTTGCAAGTCAATTTTAAATGATAAATATATATACTTTACGGCCATTTTTTAGATCAATATTTCATACATTCGATGGGCTTGTTGGTGTAATGACGTACGGCTAATAATTAACGTGTCGTGTAGTGCGATTCCAACATATTTTCTAATTAATTTATTACTTTTCTGAAACACGTTGGAAATCTGGATATTGAATGGGTGGTAGGAATATCGAAATACCGCACAGATCATGAAACATCGTCCACAGATGAAAAAGCCGTGAAAGTTTAATCACGTTCCGGTTTCAGTCTGTGGATTTCCGAATATCCAAAGTCAAAATAGGTGGACAGTCTATCTTGTTTAGAAGCTTTAGACTGGGGTATTTCATGTACCATCAAGTGGACCCGATGCTTGTCTGTCCACTATGATAAAAAAATATATATACGTTTTGGGTATCTTGTACCGTTTTCGCGGAAACCATAAAATCAAAGATATGATAATAATTTCCCCCGTTTCTTTCCACATTCCCCACTGTTTCTTCGCTCCTATTGGATCCAACAAACAAACAAACTTTTCAGCTTTATGATATCAGAATAGATTTCATCAGTGCGCCTGGCCTTGGTACGGTAGAATTAAATTCAACAATGGAAATATTTCAACTAATTGCCGCACCGACCGACATTTCCAAACAATTTTATTTTTGTTGAGATTATATAATACAAATAATGCTTAATACGTACCGACACAATATAAAACACCTTTTAACGGGTTAAAACGCGAACTACATTATTATTATGGGTTCACTGGATAGAAAGTGAAGTACCCCAGCCATATAACATCTAAACACGATGCGCTGTTGGCCTATTTTGGTTTTGGATATATAAAAATCCATGGACTAAACCAAAACGCGTTTAAGCTTCTCGGCTTTTTGTAGACGGTGGTTCGTGAGCGGACAAAATTTCTTAATTATTACATGTTAATATCCAGTTTTCAAGACGAAGTCTACCATGTTTTAGAAAAAATATAAATTGGTTACATACATGTTGATTATTATTGCTACTATTAGACACGTCAACAATTAGTTAATCAATTTTTAATTACGAGCGGTATTTACTATGTACATTTTTTTAACCTGTTTGTTCCCCAGCATTCTACCCGCGAAATGGCTGGGCCACGGCGTTGGATTTCGATCGACAGTGACACCAAAACCACCACCAGAAGGAAGGGAAAACACATATAACATTATGTTCCTCGGTTTCGATTCTACCGCCAAAAATGGTTTTATAAGACGTATGCCGAAAAGCTATAAGGTTGTTAAAGAAATTGTTGGTGCTACAATTCTAAACGCGTAAGATTATCTTCATTATGCTACCCTTTTCGCGTGATGTCGCTCGCTTGGTATTTAATATATGATGAAACAATAATCTATAATAAGGAATATTTCTAATCCTTTTTTCAAAGAAGGCAAATAGTTAGGTGGCTTAGTTAAGGTATAAAAAAAGAAATTGTGATACCTGACGACTGGACAAATTGTAGTGTAATAAATAGTTTTTTTTTTTACATTTTACCATACTAAGTAAGAGGTTACAAAAAATGATTGATTTCTGAATATTATTTTACACATAGTTTGCTTCATGTTTATATATTAACTTTACTATTTGAGATGTTTCTCTCGGTAATATTTATCGATTTATCTTTTTAAATTTTATAGGAGATTAAAACACACTTTGGAAACTGGATCGTGTATCCCTCACCCACACTTTTAAACATACATACTTAATACATTTTAAATATATACATATAAATTATAAAAAAATAATTAGTATTTGTTCCTAGGTATAATATAGTTGGGGACGGTACACCGGCCGCGCTTTTCCCGTTTTTAACTGGCAAAACGGAATTGGAGTTGCCAGATGTTAGGAAAAAATTGAGAAACAAAAGCAGTTTGGATGTTATGCCGTTCATATTTTACAAGCTGAAAGATGATGGGTAAGATTAGAAAGTTTCTTTTATATGGTGGTTAAATATACTTAATTAATTATTTAAAAAAAAAGACAAAACTTAGAAGAGTGCTTGTAAAGTGGGAGAAAGGAAACAACACACACTTACATCCCCCCCACACCCCTTCCCGGGGAGAAGTAACCGAGATTACCTTATTTCACTGTTACGGTGAAATAAGTTTTTCTTTTTTTGAAAAAAATTCTTGGTTTATACTTAGTTTACGGTGGCATTAACAGTCAAGTTAGTGCAACCGTGGATCAGTTTTATAAGCGCTTTGGAACTATTTATGTTGTCGCAGGATCTGAATCGAGGTCCTCACGCGCTATTGTGCCACGAAGGTAAAAAAATACATGTAAAAAATTACATATACGTATTTTTCAGATATCGAACTGCCTACTTCGAAGACATGCCATGGATAGGAACGTTCCAATATCGCTTCAACGGTTTCAAAAACCAGCCGGCCGACCACTACCTTCGTGACTTTTATTTGGAAGAGTCCCAGAACGGAAAGAGGTGGGGCAGCAAGAGTAAGAAGTACTGTGTGGGTGATACGCCGCAGTTCGAGTTGATGATGAATATTACTGACCAGGTTAAACTCTACATACTATTTAAGCTACTAGTGAAAAAGGGTTGTAACGTCTTCAATAAGCCTTTGTAAAAATTTACGACACAGTACTTGAACCGGCATTCACAGCGTTCCGTGCTTTCGCTCTAACCTACTGAACTACCGAATCCTACACGCCATCGTCGAATTTTTTCAACCTATTGGATACAGGCACCTCTCGCGTAATGTAATTTCAACAGAAACACTAACCATTGTATATTTTTTTCATGTTTACAGTTCTTCAAGCTCGATGGAAAAAAGTTTTGTTTTACATTCATAGCGGATATAACGCACGATGACTTCAACATGATACCAACTGCCGACGATGCGTTAGCGGTTTTTCTTACTAACTTCATGGAGAGGGGTCTGGGCAAGAACACTATGCTTCTATTGTTTGGAGATCACGGTCCGAGGTATAATTGGATAAGTAAAACAACATTACACGCTAACGAAGTTACAATGATTTATTATAAAATTGAAACTTATTGCAGTTAAATTATCCTACTCATCAAAAGATAAGCTTATACGAAAAGTCCCATTTACCTTAGACGTGCAATAATTGACAGTTTTTTTCGCCTGTGGTCGGTCGTGACTAGGACGAAATTTCGATATCATTAGCACGCATCTAATATCTAGATTTTACAGTCTAACATTAGAAAAATGTTAGACCCGTTGGGATTCAAACCCACACAGTATCCAGGCGAAGTCTAATATGATGCAGAAGAGTAAACAATTATTAGAAGCTGTTTGACTAGTAGGATCCGAACTATGAGATGTTGATTGTATGCCTGTATTTCGATATTAGTATCGCCCATTTATCCAGACTACCAGTCCAATACGATACAGATAACTTTTAAAACACATTTACAGACATGTTAAACCCGGTGGAATCGAACTACGACCTGTTGATTATTAGCATTGGTAACATAAGACTAACAAGCTCGACAAAGTCTTACTGCTTAAGCGACGAAGTATTCAATGCTACAATTTACAAGGTGCGTTACATGAACTAAAGTGTAATATTATTTTTCAAGATATGCTCACGTCAGAGATACTTTGCAAGGAAAGTTTGAAGAGCGCTTACCCCTTATGGCTATAAGGCTACCTGATGACCTAAAAGAGGCCAGGCCGGAAGCCCAAGAGAACTTGGACCGTAATGTCGAAGTTCTGACCACCCCCCACGACATCCATGCTACGATTTTGGACGTGATGGAAATGCGCAACGAATGGAACCCCTATAAGGTTAAGGGGGGCTGATCTGACGAGGGGTTTAAGTTTATTAGAGCCGGTATGTATCTGTACTTCCTAATATGTGAAGCTGAAGAGTTTGTTTGTTTGAATGCGCTAAGCTCAGAAACTACTGGTTCGAATTGAAAAAAATAATTTGTGTTGGTTAAGTTATGTATCGACTAAGGCTTTAGGCTGGAGCGAAGATACAGTGGAAAATGTAAAATGAGAAAAATTATTCATCTTATCATCATCTTGTGGGTTTCCGACGCGTACGCTGCAAAATGGCAATTACACACAATTCCATATACAGAAATATCTGTATGAAAAACGATTCCTCTCAATAAGAAAAAAAAATGTCCGCGACAATATACTAATAATTAAGATGAACTCATAAGAATTACGGGACGCGGACGACGTCGTGTTTTAGTAACAACTAGTTATTTATATACATAATTCTTTTTTTTTCTTTCAGATACCGAAAAATCGTTCGTGCAGCGAAGCTGGTATCGAGCCTCACTGGTGCTCATGTCTTTCATGGGAGGACGTGAATGAAAACGATCCCATGTACAAGAAAGCTGCGCAAGCGCTAGTCGATTTTATAAATTCCCTCACTGAAGATGTAAGGTTAGTACCTTGAAGTATTGTTTGTAGTTGACACGAGTGGTAAAATTAAATAAACACTTAACGGTTCAAACTGCGCAATATATAGGTAACTTATCTTAAATCTATTTTCTAGTATCTGAAGATGAAGTGTTGCTAATGTAAACAAAAGACAGCAGTGGTCGCTAGGGACGGCGGATTTAGGTGAACCGCTAATGTCAGGTGGTAGTAAAAATAATTTACCAAACCAAAAAGTTATTCAAAGAAATGAATGCTTTTTTTATTTTATTATAGCTAGCTGTGCCCACGACTTCGTCCGCATGAAATAGTGACTTGGGGTAGAATTTTTAATTATTTTGGCTGTTTATTAATTCATGTAAGGGCGCATTTAACGCAGTGAATCTATGTTGTTAGTGCTACTTTGCCGCAAAACTCTCACCTTACATCGCTCCTACTCTAACTCCCACTCCCACCCCCCCCCCTATTCCCAAAAAGCCAAAGAAGAGAGTTTCATTGTTCTAGCTTCAAAATCCACGAATTTTCATACAAACTTTCATCCCCATTTTTCAACCCCTATCAACCCATTTTTTGCCATTAAAAAGGAGCCTATGTCTTTTCTCAGGCTCTAAAATATTTGTGTACCGAATTTTATTTATATCAGTTCAGTAGTTTCGGAGTTAAAGCGGGACAGACATACAGAGTTACTCGCATTTATAATATTAGTATAGATTATGGTATTTGTGATTCCAGGTCCAAATGTGTGCCTCGCACTCTGCAGTCCACATCGTGGGTTATGCACAAGCGTCCCAACAATGGCGTCTTGACTTTCGTGGAGGCGAAAGATACGGACGGCTACGTAGGGAAATTTGGGAAACGCGTCAAAACGAATAAGGAGGACTATACGGTGAAGGTCAGTATATAGAGACATTCATTCTAACCGTATCTGCAATACCGAGTATGACAGATACTGTCGCGAAGTTTTTTCTTAGATTATTTAAAGAAGAATAATTCCTTTATACATAGTTTTTGGGTGTCTTGAACTGTTATCGCAGCGTATCCAATGAAACCTTCAAAGGTGAATAACATTCCCAGGTTTATCCAAATTTCCCTTTGTGTCTTCGCTGCTATTGGTTACAGTCTGATGTTTTATATATATTATAGCCTAAAGCCGTTGACAGTGGCTCCATCCACCCAACGCATCAATATTTTTTTAATTTTACCTGTCAGTACTTGAGATTAGCGCGATCAAACAAACAAACTCTTCGGCTTAATAATATTAGTAAAGTTTGTTATTAATTAATTGTCTTTCAATTACGGCCATTATAATACTTTTTTGACACAATTTTATCGGTTTAAAACGAGAAATATATTTGTTACCTTATATTGAATTTATTCCCCCATGACCGCGACTGCTGTTTAAGTATCCGAAACATCAAGCCTGGGTTATAATAGATTAAAAATAATTGAGCTAATATAATTCGTGTGTAACCGTTAAATGTTTTATTAAAATGTACACTACCCTGGTAAGCTACTACAGACTCTATTAATGGTTATGGAATATATAGCTATTAACAATAACAGAGGAACTTGTTCATGTCAAGTGATTAGAATATTTTCCTTATTTCAGATTTCAGTCGGTCCCAACAACGGCGTCTACGAAGGATCTATGACGTACTACGTTCAGGAGGATAAATTCCATATTGACGCCAGAGATATATCTAGAACTAATGCGTAAGTAATTTTCCTACTTAGCCTATCGTGTTTTGTCTCTTTCTCTCACATAGTGTATAATGCGTTTGGCCGATAATCGAACTACAAATATACATAAGATAAAAGAATATGATTTTGAAGGATGTATATAATCCTAAATTTCCTTACAGCTAACCTGTACCAAGAATTAACCGTTTAAATTAAACATCTTCAACGGTTTGAAACGCGCAGTTTATTTTACAAATACCTTCCATCCATAGTTCCTTCGTGACGCTACAAAACATACCAAACGTCATGCCATAGTTAAAATAAGTTAAACTAATACATTTCGCGTTTTAAACCGTGAAAAGTGTTTTATTGAAATGTTGCGTAAACTACAGATATTGGTTTTATGAACTGCTGGTAAAGGTTAAACAAATAATGTATTGCGACAACTTTTTTGTGTATTTAATATTTATTATGTAAGAAGCTTATTCTAAATTCTAAAACATAATATTTTTAAATACTGTCTATAGTTTACGCGAGTATTACACATTTAAATAAAACTCTTTAACGGTTTAAAACGCGATATATTAGTTAAACTTATAATCTATATTATAAAATATATTAGTTAAATCGGCTGTTGCAAAGCATCCGAAACGTCGGGCCAAAGTTAAAAATCATTTTCAAATAAGTTTAACTAATATATCGCGTTTTAAACCGTTAAAGTGTTTTATTTAAACATAATATTTTTGCTCAGACGAAAGTCTAGAATAAAAGCCTGTTATATAATAAAATTCACGCATACCTCACCCCCCACCCCCACTTATTGCCAACCTTTTTGTTTCAGTTACAACGACGAGCCCAGCTGTATAAGCGCGACACATCCACATCTAAATATGTATTGCTTTTGTAAAGAATTCCTTTAGTGAATAGCTTTATTAGTATAGCTAGAGAAAGCCTATACAGTTTTTTTGGGGCTCACAAAAACACTTTTGACGCTATAAAAAATGTTGCCAGCGTCAAAAATAACAAGGTTTTTTGAGGTCTGGCTGCACACTTATATAGAGGTGGTATTTTTTTTTCTAACAAAGGTACCGACCAAAGATTTTTGGTTTTTCTGACAATTGTCATGAAGAAAGTCGCAGCTAAAGGATTCAAGTTACCAAATAGAAATCGATTATTAGTCGATTTTTTCATCGGTTTTTATGATAATGTAAAAATTTATATATAATATAATTATAGATATAATTTGAGTTTTAATATGCTTTGCGATTGTTCTTGTTTTATTATTATTATTTATTTCTTAAGCATACAAGTTACTATTTAGAGTTACCATTTTTTTTTGTTTTGTAAATTTTGACGATTTTGCACGGTCTCACTATTTGTACATATAAATTATATATATCACAAAATCAACAAGAAATCTTGGATTGTACTAACTTGGTACATAGTTATATTCCGTTACGCTATCGGATATCTAGTCAAAAATGTTTGTCTTGTAAGAGCGACATTAAGTGGGTTTTCTCTCCTTATATGAGTTATGGACTGTGTTACCTGTTTCTTATGTATGTTAAGTACATCTTAGTGTTACCATATTTCTTTTCTTTGTGTAAATTATCTTGTCAGTAAAATATGGAATATCCGTTGTTTTATATATTTTTGTGTATTATCTGTAGCTTGTTTGTTTTTATATTATTACCAATGTGTAAAAGACAAGACCGGCTTTGTAAGTCTGTGACTCATAAAATATTTTATAAAAAGTCTTATATGGATGCCATTCGCAACTTAAGGGCTAGCTTAAAAAAATAAAACTAAGAAAAGATTTATTCAATAATTACTTTTTCATGAGATGCAATATGATTTTTTATTTTGAACTATTGTTTAGGCATTTTGTTATTTTTTTTATTTATTTATAAGCTTACTTATTTCTGGGGATATTTTTTTGTTTCCAGTCAATTATTCCTTTTAGTTACTCATTACAGATTTTTGTAAATACAAGTATAAATAATTACAAATTTCAAGCAATTTTGTTTTCTTTGAAACACCTTTCCTAAATAACGTCGTTAATTGCAAGATCAAGTTACTTAAATAAGAATTACTTTTAAAGAACTTATTTTTAATATATCTATATTAGCACAATGCCCTTTTTTAATGACCCATATAATATATTATGTAAGACGTCACTAAGTTAAATGACAAACAGGAAAGATTAAAATAATATTAATTGTTATTACAATTATTTTGCATTAGAAATGTGTACACTTCCGCACAAAATAATTAATTTAATGAAATGAAATATGTCTTATGATAACATTTGTTTAAAGTACGCGAAGACTGTAAAAATAAACGTGGCGATAAAAGAGTAGTGGCGGCGAGTTTCTTGCCAGTTCTTGTCGTTCGTTCTACGCCCTTGATTTTAGAACTGGTGGTAAATGTAAATTTTGAATCTTTAGTTTTTAACTGTTGTGGCGTTTGTAAATGTACCTAGTTATGTGAATAAATATTTTTGCATGACTTTTAAATGTGCATATTTTAAGACATACCAGCAATATAAGATCCAAATTGACTTTCTTACTTTAGTGACTCGACGTATTATGTAAAAAGTTTTCTAGATGTTTCCTGCCTGCGCTCCTAAGTTTACAAAAGTTATTGAACTGAAATAGCAACACTGGCTCAATTGTAAACGCTGCCTTAAATTGTGTTACACGGTAGAGGTCCACGGTTCAAAACCCAGCCATACACGACACAAAGGGTTGATCGATTATTTTTGTTGAGTGTATTTTTTTTATTCATCAGTGTCACTTCTTCTTTTAGTTTAAACGTTTTGATTATTCTACGGTCCTAAAAATATCCTAGAAAAAAATAATTTTACGCTTTTCATTGTTAATTTAATTATTTCTCAGCGTTAAACTAATGTGTTGCCGGCAAGTGTATAGCTGTCGGTGAGACTTAAAAGATAATATGAATCAGAAATTCTAACTAATTACTGTTTAACTCACTCGAGTAATAACGTGTAATATAAAGCATTCTTCTAAATAATAATTGTTATTAAACTTTAAACTAATTAAAAATATGAAGGTAAGATAACTTTAATACTGTCTATAGTTTTGCGAGTAGTACACATTTAAATAAAAACTTTAACGTTAACCGACTTAAGTCTCCCCGTGACCACGGCTGCTGCAAAATCGAAAGTCAGGCCGATGTTAAAAATCATTTTCAAATAAGTTTAACTAATATATCGCGTTTTAAACCGTTAAAGTGTTTTATTTAAATAAGATGACATTGTTTTAAAGAATATAATTTGCAGTTGCATTTTAAATTAAACTGAAATTTTGGCTCCCTTTTCAGTTTTTCATTGTTTGTGCCTTGTTTTTCGTGGCTACACTCGCTTCGCCTGTGCCACAGGGAAACTCAGTAAGTACTTAATAGTTACATGTAATAAAACATACATAATTTGATTCTATAGTTTACGCGAGTAGTACACGTAGTTAAAAATCATTTTCAAATAAGTTTAACTAATATATTGCGTTTTAAACCGTTAAAGTGTTTTATTTAAATATGTATAATTTGCCTTATTCTTAACATATAACTCACAGTTTGTTTGTTTGAACGCGCTTATCTCAGGAATCACTGGTTTGAAAAATATATCGTGGTTAAGGTATTAGGCTAAAAGACATCACGCTGCGAACAATGAGAGCGAAGAAATAGTGAGTTGTGTGGAAAAATCAGGAAAATATATTAATCTTTGAAAATGATCCCCTCTGGATCCCCGTTGCATGCCTCTTTCGAGTTCCCCAGCAATGGGAACTATTTACATATATATATATAAACCGAATGATTTTTTACAGGACAACAACTACATGTTCAAGTATTTTGTAAAAGAAGAACCTGTTGGTAACAACTTTGGACATCGAGAAATGCGAATTGGAAATCAAGTTACTGGCATGTACTATGTGTTGCTGCCAGATGGTAGAATTCAGGTACGAGATTATGTAGATCTATGTATTTATGGTAATATAGAAAAGTGAATCGTTGGTCTTATGGTAGCAATGTATATAATAAACGGGTCGTGGGTTGAATTCCCACCGGGTCCCTCACGCTTCAATTTTTTTTCTGAATGTTTAGTTGAGTTTAATCGCGTTTCGGTTACAGTCTGTGAATTTCTGAATGTCCACAGCTCAAATATTTTGTTGAGTTTATAAAATGCCAAAACTGTGGATATCCTAAGCCAAATATCTGTCTGTTTTATTAAATAAGTCCTCTATTGATCATGTTTGATTAACTGGTACAATGACTAGTCTTCTAGGTCTGGCTATAGCTTCTTCGGCATCCAGGGACGACTTTAAGTCAATACTAGAAAAGTCGTTTCATAACTTAACTCATGACTTGATATTATATATACATAATTATATATACTACGTAATATACATTGTTAATACCATTTTTAAATAAAACACTTTAACAGTTTAAAACGCGATAGGTATATATTAGTTAAATTTATTTGGAAATGATTTTTAACTTTGGCCCGACATTTCGGATGCTTTGCAGCAGCCGAAACGTCGGGCGGAAGTTAAAAAATCATTTTCAAATAAGTTTAACTAATATATCGCGTTTTAAACCGTTAAAGTGTTTTATTTAAATGTGTACTACTCGCGTAAACTATAGACAGTATTTAGTAATAACATGTAAAAAAATATTAAAGTTTTCAAAGTATTTTATTTGTCAAATCAAAAAAAAAGAATAGATTTTAAATTTATATTCTTTTTGTTTCGTTCGAAGTTGTCGCTGTTTGTTAGAATTATTCCTTATATACGTACTATGAAGCCATATTTTAGTACTCTAACTTACTGTTTTAATTTTCAGAAAGTAGACTACGTCGCTGATGAAAATGGCTACAGACCAACAGTTACCTATTTAAACCCTTATTAAATATGTGAAAGCAACCTTTCTATGTATTTGAATAAAGTAAATATTGTTAACGTCTGTATTTTAACTAATATTCTTATGTGTATTAATGAGTTCAAGCGTTTATTGTTCTAGTGATGTCCCCTAAATGGGACATTGGGCGAACACACTAATGTGTCTGTTTCAATAGATTTTATTGACAATTTTATCAGAGTTTCTCTACTCTTTTTCTACTTTCTTTCTATAAATAGATCATTATCAACACAATGGTATAGAAAATATTAAAAAAACGGTTTTAAAAAAGCATCATTTATTTATAAAAATAATCTGTAAAGCTGTACAAATCTTATAACAATTAATCGGCAGCGCTGGCCTATACACAACTAAAATAAATAATCAAAAACCATGTTGTTTGCCTCTGTCGTTGTTAGATCCTTACATAAAACCTATATACATGGAAGATCTTAAAGTAAATCTAATTGGTGGTTCAGTAGTAAATATAGAATTTTATATGAAAATTTATTACATTTACGTTAAGCTACATATATATTAATATATATTAGAATTTTCATTAAAAATTATATTATAATTGAATCTTGTAGATATATAGAAGTAAAAGCGAATTACAGTGCTCTCCAACGAAGCTCTCCAACTTTTGGCCAGGCTGAAGTTAGCGCGAATGCAGCTACGTAAAAAGCAGGTATCAGTTGCTAGAAACGGGGTGCGCGGGTGCGGGGGAACACGACTTTTTGCTTAATGTTGACAGTTCCATGTGCAAGATGGCGGTCGCGTTAACTTCAGTTTGACCCTAATGTTTGGAGAGAACTCTATACATATAGATTAGTGGTTCAAGTGGTTCATTAATTTCAGGAGAGTTTTATCTATGTTTAATATTGGTAACCACCGGATTGAGCGTTTCTGTTGTAGCCACCAGCACCCAGGCCTGTGTCTTGGTATGAGATCCTGGGCCTGTAACCGTTCTCATCAGCTTCGTATTCGACGGTCTGAAATATAATTATATCATTGATTCCTTAGTAAAATACTTTGAAATTTAAATACTGTGTAGTTTACGCGAGTAGTACATAATTAAATAAAACACTTTAACGGTTTGAAACGCTAGATATATTCATCAAACTTATTTTAAACGGCCCGACGTCTCAGCTGCTTTGCAGCAGCCGTCGTCACGGGGGAGCCTTTGTCTCCCACGTTCGGATATTTTACAGCAATTCTAATTAGTTGATGATTTTTCAGACGCTTTTCGAACCGTTAAAAAGTGTTTTATTGCGGAGAATCAATTGTGTAAACTGCATAGTAAGAATAAATTAAAATAGCTTAACTTATATATTCCGTTTGAAACCGTTAAAACTGTATTTGAGAGTCTAGATTGAGCTTCGAAGAGAATTATAAGGAGATGAGATGCTCAACATTAGACTGATATGTAAAAATATAAAAACCTGTTTCCTTCCATCTGGTAATAGAACATAGTACAATCCTTCGGTTTTGTCTCCTTGTCTGCTTTCACGGTGGCCGAAGTCGTTTCCGGAGGGCTCGTCTTTTACCATGTATTCGAAGCTGTAGTTTGCTGGTTCCTGAGAAAAAAATTAAATGTTATAACGGTTTTTTTTTTGGTAAAAAATATGTATTTACGTCAGTTAAGACTTGTTTGAAAAATATCGAAGCACGGTTGCATTTGAAGACATTTACTTCACGTGCTACTTTGAAAAATATACTATAGAACTAACTTTTTTTAATTTTTGTTATTATTTTTTTAGGTTAAATATTTAGTATAATACTAAATATGTTAACATAGCTAGCGGATAAACAAAAAAAGATTAAACTTAAATAATTAAGGAAAATTGATTATTTGTTAAAAACCGTGTTTAATTTCAAAGCTCTACCTCAAAACTCTCTCTCTCAAAAAGCTATCTACAAAACTATACTTACTCCGTTACTTCCATCATCGTTGCCATATCCTCCCTGGTTTGGTGGTAAATACTGTCTGTTTTGAGGTCTTGGGTTGTATCCAGCATTGGAACCCAAGTTGTTTTGGGAGAACTGGTTTCCACCTTTAAATACAAATTACGAAAGCCTTATAGGAGAGACTCGTGGATCCAATGAATAAGAAGCAACGGGTCGTGGGTTCGATTTTCGATTCAAATCAACATGTTTCTTAAATACTGTCTATAGTTTACGCGAGTAGTACACATTTAAATAAAACACTTTAACGGTTTAAAACGCGATATATTAGTTAAACTTATTTGAAAATGATTTTTAACTTCGGCCCGACGTTTCGGATGCTTTGCAGCAGCCGTGGTCACGGGGAGACATGGTTTCTATTTTCATAATTTTTCTGAAGGTGTGGACCTCCCAGACGAAGCACAGTTTTTCAGAAACACAGATTTTGAATGGAAAATGTGGATATATTAGTCTTAAAATCGATTAATGTTATACCTACATGTAGGTTTTGTCGATATAAATTCTACAGAAAAAGTTATAACGTCAAACTAGTCTAAAGCAAAAAATTTAATTGATAATGTAAAAAAAATTGAAAAAAAAAATCCATTTTACCATATAAAAATAATAATGATCTATTGGAAGTGGCTTAAAATCTTACCTCTTGATCCAAAACCTGGTGCACCATATTCTTGAGAGGGCGTCGCGTATTGGATACCTCCAGACCCAAAACCTTGGTTAGGTGCTCCATACTGCGACGAAGGCTGAGTAAGTCTGGAGCTTTGTGGTGGTAAGTACTGGTCTGAGAGATCTTGGGGTGGTAAATACTGGTTGGAAAGCCTTTGGCTCGGGGGTCCATACTGGTTAGATATGCCCTGATTTGGAGGTCCATATTCAATTGAGAGACGACGCGATGGGGCGTTGTATGAGTTGGAAGGTCGATTTCTGTAATAGTTTAAAAGGTAAAGGTAATATAAAGTAAATCTCTTTGCAGTTTTATATTGGGCTATTATTTTTTGTGTATTAGAATACCCAAATCTATACTAATTTATAAAGCTGAAGAGTTTGTTTGTTTGAACGTGCTAATCTTATGAACTACTTGTTCGAGTCGAAAAATTTTTTTTGTTTGCGCACGCTGCGAAGACGGTTCAAGATACCCGAAAAATATGTATTAAAGAATGGTTCCTCTTTAAACTATCTAAAAAAAGTCCGCGACAATATATGTCTATCTTTTAAGATTAACTTGCAAGAACGACGGAACGCCGATGAAGTCTTGAGTAAAAGCTTAAATTTATAGAAATAGAATATGATGCTTTATTTAACTATTCTACGCGGACGAAGTTTATAATAAATAGTAATTAGTTATTAGATCTGCTTTAAAAATATACAATAAATAGGTTTTTGATTCAATAAGAACTTATGATACAGAATAAAAAAAAAAAAAAAAAAATACGACACGAGCGGGTCTTTATCCGACAACCACAACTTTCAGTGCTTTTACAAATTGAGCTACCGTACAAGTGATAAATATTAAAGTTTAAATAAAACACTTTAACGGTTTAAAACGCGATATATTAGTCTCCCGGTGACCACGGCTGCTGCAAAGCATCCGAAACTTGGGGCCGAAGTTAAAAATCAATTTTAAGTTTTCTAGTATATCGCGTTTTAAACCGTTAAAGTGTTTTATTTAAATGTGTACTACTCGCGTAAACTATAGACAGTAGTAAATATTATTTTCAAATATTTTTAAAATATTTTAAAATCACTTGCAAATATTTTAAAACAGGATTGCGATAAACTATGAATTACAAAAGGTTAAATTTGTTTATTCATTTACCTAATTATGGCATCAGTTTGTCTTTGTCCCCCAAATCCTGGTGCTCCATAGGATTGAGAAGGTGGTAGGTATCTTAAAATAAAAAAAAAGGATTATAAAAATGTATAAAAAAATGTTCCAAACGTATAAGCAAATATTTCTCTTATAACTTACCTACTATTTACCGGTGGTTCAGCTAAGGCTGACGCAGCAAGAATTATTATGGCTAAAAACTAAAAAAAAAACAAACAAAAGATAAATTATTGAATAATTCTTTACAGAAAAAAATAGGTCTAAAAAATCTTATACATATTTTACTATGAAATGTACTGAGAAATTACCTTCATGTTACTAACTCTCCTGACGTACTTTATCAGTGTTCTGAAAAAAGAATTAATTACTTATTGAAAATCTTGAATTATTAAAATGAACGCGCAAAACATTTGATGCAAATATAATGTATTTTTTTGACTTAAAGGACAGATACGAATGGTATTACTCTATCGAAAAGGGAAATAATACAGCCGTGTAATTTATAATTATGATGTAAGTAACTAAGATGTGTAGTCGACCTATGGCTTCGGACTTTCAGAAATCCATACAATGTAACCAAAATATAGATTAATACTCGACTGAACTACGTTATCCCTTATCTAGAAATTAGTTTAAGTTAATATCAATAGTCAGGGTCAGAAAAGAAACAAAAAATTTTAAATCAATTTAAAAACATTGAACCCGGTGGAATTTTAACTTACGACCCGTTGATTATTTGCAATTGAACCAACGAGTCTACTACAAATACTTTGATACATAATACAATTATAATTTTCGTTTCTGTTACCAATGTTAGGTGAAATACCCCAGCGTCTACAAGATTGCTATCGACCTATTTTGGCTCTTGATATTTGACAATCCACAAACTGAAACCGAAACGCGATTGAACTTCACGACATTTTCATCTGTGGATATTCCTACCACAGATAACAAAGTCAAGAATTCACTTACCCCACTCCGTACTTAATGGATAGGCCGTATTTAACTTGCACTGCACTATTTTGTGTTTGCACTAAATATTATGCTAATGCATTGAAGGATGGCACTGGTATGATGGTCAGTGAGGATTCCAAACATTTATATACTAAATCTAAACGTGTACATGGTTATGTCTATGTATGCGTTTGCGCATCTCCTTGCGAACGAAGTGAAAGATGCTCTAGTTCCAATAAATAAAATGCGTGTAGCCCTTTACGTTATGTAATTTTAAAATACATTTACGTTTTACTGGTCTGGTAAATTAAACAATTAAATATTAAAATAATCTAAGTGTATGTAAATTGCATTATAAACTTGTAAGTCGTATTAGAATAAAATAAAGTGAGGTACTGTACAGTTTAGTTTGTTAGTTCGGGTCGTTTTAACAGCGTTTCTCTTGACCACGGCCTGAAATATTTTTAGCATCATTAATTTATTAGAGATTATTTAAAATATCAATTTTGTATACTTTTTAATATTGTATTAACAGCTAAAATAAATCTTACTAAAAGTATTGTCTGTTGCTATGTTATACCTACAGTTGAAAACGCGTCTACTTTAGCTTTTTATGGTTTTTGCCTTTTTACTAACTACAAATTCGTAAGTAACATTGTTTACCTTATACTTGTATGAATGTATGGGTTATTTTTAATTGAGTCTTGAGTATCAGTTCAATTATAGATAATTAAATTAATAAGTAGAGCAACTTCATCATCGTTCGCATTACAATCGCAAACTCCCAAAATGGTTAGGCGTGCTCTACTTGGCTTTACTTAAAACGAACAACATATAATTTATTGAACGCTAGTGGTCGCCCGCGGCGTCGCTTTTAATTGATTTGTTTGTGAGATAAGAGATGTGCAATAACATTATATTTGCACGTCCTTAAATTGAATAGTATTCTTCAAGGATTCTTCTAGAAAGCCATGAACGAATTAGGATAAATAGAGATATATTGAATTGCTTAGTAAATAGAAAAAAAAAACAAATTAATCTACTTTACACAAGTAGATATTTTTTTATTAATAGTGAAAGATATCATTTTCATCAACCAATAACTGACTTTATAAAAACGTATGTCGCTTAAAGTAAAACGTAGTTTGATTTTTAGTATATTCAATTTTTTTTTAATTCTTTATTTAATTTTAATATTTTAGAACTTTGACATTCCTTAGATATATAATATTTAAAATATTCTTTTACGTAGCAGGCACCGACAGTTTTTAATACTGATTATATTTTGTAATCGCTTTAATATATTTCAGAATATCGTGTTAACTAAGTAATTAAATTTATTAATAACATTAACTATAAATAAAAATCTGTTTTCAGAAGTTTCTTATATTCTTCGAGATTTTCCTAGAAAGATTATTCAGGCAAAAGGATCATGTTTTGCAATATGCAAATATCGATATGCATTAGAGTTACAAAATAATGCGCATGCGCGCGATCTCTGCATTCCGAGCCGACTATAACTATACTCTAATTTGATGCCTATCATATCGATTGCAAATACAGATTATAAAAGATCAATACCATCTATGTTTTAAGGTAAATAATTCGAACAAAAAATAACCGCCTTCAAACAGTAAACTAAAAATAAATTAACTTTACGCAACGTAATCCGTACATATTTTGATTAAATTAAAAATTCATTATTCTTCTTCTAAACAGTTCTTAACAATAACAATAATATAGGTTCTAACACAAGGTAGCTGCTATGAATCGTTCAGGATTTTTTTGACTGTCTCTCGCCTCCATCATCAAATCTACTCCATACCTTTGTTTAGTAGTGCTTTAAAGCATTGAATGATGACTTACAACCCCTACGAATATTGAAAGTTCCTCTCGATTTCTCTGGTCTGTCATCATCATACCCTCGTTTTCCGTATCTTGGGACCATGTTGGAAATATCTTGTTACCAACGAAAAATAGGAATAATCAAAATCGATTCATAAACGACGAAGTTGCGCAAGCGTATTGAGAACTTTCTTTTTTTGAAGTCGGTTAAAAAATAAATTAGACGAAAATAGTTTCTCGGTGATCATCGCTGTAAATGAGACCTGACATTGATGTGTAATGTTATTTATTTATGTTATATGTTTAAATATAACTCTTTAACCGTTTAAAATGCCATATATGAGTTACTAATATATCGCGTTTTAAACCGTTAAAGTGTTTTATTTAAATATGTTATACGTCCAAAAAATGCAATTAAACAGAATCGACGGGTTCGTGGGTTCTCAACGGCTACCAAGATGTACTTCTAAATTTTCAACGGTTTGTGAATTATTCTGAACTGTTAGACTTCGTCTGAAAATCTGTGTATTAAATAGGTGGTAGGTATATCGATATTGGCCTGGCTCACGAACCATCATCCACAGACGAAAAAGGCGTGAAGCTTAATCCCTTTCGGTTTCAGTTTGTGACTTTCCCAATATCCAAAATAAGTCGACAAGCGCATCTTGTTTACATGCTATAGGCCGGGCATGTATCACCAACCATCAAAGCCCCAAGCTTGTCTGTATTTCTCTATCATTAAAAAAAACATCATTATCTATAGCTGTAAAGCCGCTTATGGTTCTCCAGTCATACAATTATTAGGCTAAAATTATATTCAGTTATCGAGAAGTAATTATAGCCAATAAAAATAATTACAAAACTCGTCTAACTAATCTAATGCACGACCGCTATTGATCGGATTATATTTCAATGAAATCTCGCACGAAGCGAAATAATTAGAGTTACGCAAATTTAATTTAATTATGTTCAAACAAAAGTATCTTAATTTTTATTTCACAATTTACACGTGGAGCATGGATCAATGAATGAAAATAAACGCTAATAACTAATAGGGTAAACACTGCCTGTAGTTTACGCGACTAGTAGATATTTAAATAAAACACTTTAACGGTTTTAGATCGCGAAATAATTGCATTGCATTGAATAAAAACTACGTGCTGCTGCAAAGCATCCGAAACGTCGGGCCGTACTTAAATAATTTTTAAGTTTATATAATATATATCTCGTTTTAAACCGTTAAAGTGTTTTATTTAAACTAATAAATTGTTTTCATAACGAATTATCTAGTTTAAATAAGAAAGATCCTACATATTGTCTGTAGTTTCCGCGAGCTAAAAGTGTTTTAAAGTACATTGCTTTGTTTTTGTATTATATCAATTAAATCAAAGTATATGTAAAAATGTTTTTTTTTGGTCCCACTGTCCCACACATGGAACTAAAGTCCACGACCACAGCGGTCTGTGCTGTTTCTTTTACCTAGTCATAGTCAGAAATCTATCTTGTGTAATAAACGATTGGTTGATGGTTTAAATCTGGGTCTCGTTAAATATGGTAGTACCGATTTTTGCACCTCGAAACTTTTTCTGAGCCAAATCAATCACTTCAAAATCTAAACTAATCCATCACCGAGCTACGTAACATCAAAACAATTCGAAATCAGGTGTAATCGCTGTCGATAGATTCAGAGCAAGGTCTTCACTTAACCTGTCTATCTAGTGGCGTACTGTTTATGGCTTGGCTATTTCGTAGAATTTGTGAAGTGTTCAGACATTTTACTTTAAGGCAATAAATAGATTTTTTTATGATCGAGAAGGACAGACAATTGTAGGGTTCACGTGATTGTTCACTCCTTAAACATGTAAACAAGATTCGCTATCGGCCTATTCTAACTTTGTATTCGGAAAGTTATTTTTAAAATAAGTGTGGAAAATTGAAGCGGTTTTGAAAATCGAATAGAAAAATAGGGAGAAAGAATATGGAATATCGTAGTATAGTCGTTCAACATAGTACAGCGTAAAAGTTTTATCTACTTTTACGAGTTTATAGTACAAAATATCAAAACAGTAAAAGATCGTATCTTATGTCGGTATATTTCACTCACAAACCAAGGACTGCGAATACTTGTTTTAGCAGATCATCCAGATTAGCCAATATCTCGTGAGGTCTATCGATTAGTTATCAGCGAATTCGTTAAGTTATGAGCGGTAGCGACTTTATAAGATCATGCTTAAACATTATAGATTTAAAAATGTATATATTTGCACAAAATTCAATTAGCCTTTAATGTCTAAAAGACTACTTATCGTAAGGCAACATAAAAGTCGACAATGTCTCTTGTTTACATGTTATATGGGTTTCATCTTCCAACAACCTCTCGTTTGTCTATCCGCCTTGACGGCTGCCGTAAAGCACCCGAAACGTCGGTCCCTAGATTATAATAAAAATAATCTAATATATTTCCCGTCATGAACCTTTAAAATGTATTTTATACTAGTCGATATTGAAATTAAAA